AACAAAACTAAAGGGCAACCGATGGAATGGGAGAAGATATTTGCAAATGACATAGCAAATAAAGGGCTTAGTAGCCAAAGTCTAGAAAGAACTTATCAAACTCCATACCCAAAAAACAACCCTGTGAAGAAATGGGCAGAAGACATGAACAGACATTTCTCCAAAGAAGACATAGCAAACACATGGGCAACAGACACATGAAAAAATACTCAACATCACTCGGCATCAGGGAAATACAAATCAAAACCACAATGAGATACCACCTCGCACCAGTCAGAATGGCTAAAAATAACAATTCAGGAAGCAACATATGTTGACGAGCAAGGGGGCCTCTCTTACGCTGTTGATGGGAATGCAAGCTGCTGCAGCCACTCTGGAAAACAGTATGGAGGTTCCGCTCCCTTCAAGGAGCCTGCTTCTCCCTCTGCCTATGTCTCTGCCTGTCTCTGTGTGTCTCTCATGAATAAATAAATAAAATCTTAAAAAAAAAAGGAAAAAAGAGAACTACCCTATGACCCAGCAATTGCACTGCTAGGTATTTACCCAAAGGATACAAACCTAGTGATCGAACGGGCACATGCACCCCAATGTTTATAGCAGCAATGTCCACAATAGCCAAAATACGGAAAGAGCTCAGATGTCCATCGACAGATGAATGGTTAAAGAAGATGTGGTATAGGGGCATCTGGGTGGCTCTGTTGGTTAAGCATCTGCCTTTGGTTCACGTCATGATCCCGGGATCCTGAGGTTGAGCCTGGTATTGGGCTCTCTGCTCAGCAGGGAGTCTGCTTCTCCCTCTGCCCCACCCTCTGCTTGTGCTCTTGCTCTCTCTCTCTCAAAAAAATGAAATTTTAAAAAAGAGAAGATGTGGTGTGTATACACAATGGACTATGACTCAACCATCAAAAAGAATGAAATCTTGTCATTTGCAACAACAGGGATGGAACTAGAGGGTATTATGCTAAGTGAAATAAGTCAGTCAGAGAAAGACAAATACCGTACGATTTTACTCATACATGGAATTTAAGAAACAAAACAGATGGACATAGATGAAGGGAAGGGAAAAATAAAATAAGATGAGAACAGAGAGTGAGGCAAACCATAAGAGTTGATGAACTCTAGGAAACAAACAGGGTTGTTGGAGGGGAGGTAGGTGGAAGGATGGGGTAATTGGTTGTTGAGCATTAAGGAGGGCACTTGATATAATGAGCATTGGGTGTTATGTGCACCTGATGAATCATGAAATTCTACCTCTGAAACTAATAATACACTATATGTTAACTGAATTCATATAAAAATTTTTAAAGAAAATTTATTAAGTAAAATGGAAGCCAGGTGTCTTAATCTTGGAAACAGGGATCCCTGGGTGGCGCAGCGGTTTGGCGCCTGCCTTTGGCCCAGGACGCGATCCTGGAGATCCGGGATCGAGTCCCACGTCGGGCTCCCGGTGCATGGAGCCTGCTTCTCCCTCTGCCTCTGTCTCTGCGCCTCTCTCTCTCTCTCTGTGACTATCATAAATAAATAAATTTAAAAAAAATTTAATCTTGGAAACAGAAGGTACAAATAAAGAAAGGAAAAAAACTAGAATGAACTCTTTGATTTTAGATTGGGATTAGAGATATCAGCATCAACTCATACATTGCAATATAGATGATAGCAATGTGTGCTATGTGTATGCACAAACGTATATTCCTTATCTCTGTCCACTGAGAGGCCTGGGACCAGCAGCGCCCCAATAATGATGAACACACCTTGCTATGCTCTGCTGGGCCACTCCACTGCTCCCCAAATTTGCTGTTTTTCCCTGGCTGCCAGTTTTTCTTTCACTATTTTTTTTATTGCAGTTCAATTTGCCGACATATAGCATAACACCGAGTGCTCATCCCGCCAAGTGCCCTCCTCAGCGCCCATCACCCAGTCACCCCCACCCCCCCGCCCACCTCCCCTTTCCACCACCCCTTGTTCGTTTCCCAGAGGTAGGAGTCTCTCATGTTCTGTCTCCTTCTCTGATATTTCCCACTCATTTTCTCTCCTTTCCCCTTTATTCCCTTTCACTAATTTTTATATTCCCCAAATGAATGAGACCATATAATGTTTGTCCTTTTCTGATTGACTTACTTCACTCAGCACAATACCCTCTAGGTCCATCCACATCAAAGCAAATGGTGGGTATTTGTCGTTTCTAATGGCTGAGTAATATTCCATTGTATACATAAACCACATCTTCTTTATCCATTCATCTTTCGATGGACACCGAGGCTCCTTCCACAGTTTGGCTATTGTGGACATTGCTGCTAGAAACATCGGGGTGCAGGTGTCCCGGCATTTCACTGCATCTGTATCTTTGGGGTAAATCCCCAGCAGTGCAATTGCTGGGTCATAGGGCAGGTCTATTTTTAACTCTTTGAGGAACCTCCACACAGTTTTCCAAAGTGGCTGCACCAGTTCACCTTCCCACCAACAGTGTAAGAGGGTCCCCCTTTCTCCACATCCTCTCCAACATTTGTTGATTCCTGTCTTTTTAATGTTCCCCATTCTCACTGGTGTGACGTATCTTATTGTAGTTTTGATTTGTATTTCCCTGATGGTCAGTGATGCAGAGCATTTTCTCATGTGCATGTTGGCCATGTCTATGTCTTCCTCTGTAAAATTTGTTCATGTCTTTTGCCCATTTCACGATTGGATTGTTTGTTTCTTTGCTGTTGAGTTTAATAAGTTCTTTATAGATCTTGGATACTAGCCCTTTATCTGATAGGTCATTTGGCTGCCAGTTTTTAAGGTGAGTGTGACCACTTTCCTTGTTTGGTTGCTGAAGCTGAATTTTTATGGCACTTAACACTTGCACTAAAAGATGAGAATCAGCCCCACTTTACAGCCGAGAAAACTAGGACTCAGAGAGGTAAAATGACATGTCCATAGCTACACAGCAATGAGTGATGGAGCAAGGGATCCGATCTAGGCTGTTTGGCTCCAAAGTCCTTGCTTTTTACTCTGAGACACTGAACATAAAACAGAAAGGTAGGCAAGGAAAAAGGAGACAAATCTTTCAAAGAGTGACAGACCAGGACCTGTGTGAGACACAGGAGCAGGATATGGAAGGACAGAGCAGGAAATACAGAGTTCATGCTCCAGTGCAAGCCAGAGAGCTGGAACATAAGACTGCCAGGCAGCATCTCTGAACCTCTGTAAGCTGAAGAACTAATTTGTCAGGGCAGAGTAGAAGGAGCAGGACCAGACATAGGGCTTCTGAGCTTGCAGTCTGGATGGAGAATAACCCAAGACCCCGGGACTCTGTCTACGGAAAACCACAGGATAGCAGTGCCCTGATGGGCAGAAGGACAGCCTAACCTTGATCTCTTAATCTCTTAACCTAGGCCCCAATCCCACCCCAGGTGGCATCTTTTCATAGGAAGTGACTGTCAGTTCCAGCAGGACCAACCTCTGCTTAGACTGGACCTGGAGACCGGGTGAGGGACACATGGTCAATCCTTCTCAATTCTGGATCTGTAAGATGCTAGGACTTGACACTCACTAGAGGGTTTTGCTAGCAGTAGAGTGCCTTGTTTCCCATCTCTACCATGATTGTGGAACCTCCCATACCCACCAGATTTGAAGGGATTGAATCCTAGTCTCCATTTGGGGCTGGAGGTTGAGGGACAGCATCTGAATTAGGAATGAGGACTGGGGCTATGCACTCTAACAATGTCCAGTTTGGGTCTCAGATTCTGACTTGGAGGCCATGTATGAGGATTCAGTTCCCAGTTCAGCAGGGAACTCTGAAGGAGGCCATTGAGAGGACATGACTACCCATCCACTTACAAGCTGGACCCAGGCAACTGAAAGTTCCTCACCTCCTCCCTCCTCCTTGGAATATGAATGCCACCCACCATTCCACAGTGAGAGCCATTTTCAAGGATACAGCCTTGAGAGAGCATTGTGGTTTTGAGAACATGTGGACAGTATATGTGACTGAAGCTTATTAAGGCCTCTATATAAATTTTAAGATTCTGGCAGGAAAGGGGCTCCTGGGTGGCTCAGTAGGTTAAGCAGCCAACTCTTGGTTTCAGGTCAGATCATGATCTCATGGGTCATGGGATAGAGCCCTGAGTTGGGCTCCACACCCAGCAAGGAGTCTGCTTGAAGACTCTCTCCCTCTCCCCCTCCTCCACTCTCTCTCTCTCTCTCAAATAAATAAATCTTTTTTTAAAAAGGGAGTGGGAACACCTGACTGGGTGGCACAGTGGTTGAGCGTCTGCCTTCAGCTCAGGGCGTGATCCTGGGGGTACCGGGATCAAGTCCCACATCAGGCTCCCTGCAGGGAATCTGCTTCTCCCTTCGGCTACATCTCTGCCTCTTTGTCTCTCATGAATAAATAAATAAAATCTTTAAAAAATAAAAAGGTTCTGGCAGGCGGGTGAAATCTCCTCACCTTGGCCACCCAAGACAAGCCTCATACGTAAGTTCACTCGCTTATTAAAACTGTCACCTGCCAATCTGGAATGGCCGGCCTCCTCCTTCCATCTCTCCTTGCCCTCTGTATATGGGGCCAGTTCATGAACTGATGCGAGCCACAATCACAGAGCTTGGGGTGGATGGGTTCCTCTCAATCATGGGGGTAAGAGAACAAGCCCTGAGCAACTACAACTGGGTGGGTGAATTCCTGACAAACGTGCTGCCATTACTGTCACTAACCACTTCCCTCCAGACCTCTATTATATGCAACCTTGGGGAGGGGCACCATTTACATGAAGGATGCTCCCTTCATTAGCCAACATGGCAGATCTGTTCCACCAACTTTTCTACTTATGGCAGACCTTGCTAATTAATCAGTCTCTGCTGAGTCTGGGCAAAGCTTCAGAATCCTTCCCCTCAAATAAACTTGGGGCCTCGGACAACCCCTACCCATTCCTCAGTGTTAGCATATGAAATGCTAAGTATCTGCCATCACTTGCCCTGACCTCCTGGAACTTGTGAAACAGAGAGGCAGGGGGAAGACCACTTCACTGCTTTATTGGGAGGGGAATACACTCTGACACAATGCAAGGCCCTGAGCCCATCAAGATCTCTAGCTCGAGATGCAGCTGGTTGGCAGTGACTCTGTAGTGTCCCTTGATGAAACCCCGGGAAGCACAAGAATGGCACCTCCAGTAAGCCTGGATAATTCGGGCAGCATTGAGCAAACGGCAATAGCGCCTATGAATGCGCCACATGCGGACCCAGGACTGCAGCTTGACTGCTGCCCACTCCTTCCGTGTAAAGGTTTCCAATGTTGCACGCCGCCTCCTCTCCATCAGCTTTGTCAGGATTTGCTTCCACCAGCGCTGAATGACCATCACTCTGATTACTGCATGCAGCAGTGTCCGGCGCACCAGGGTACCCCGCCACCAGGCCTGGATCTTTATGACTTCCGGATCACTGGTAGAGGGCTCATTTTGGTCTCCTGGGATCTTGCAAGAAGAAAGAGGGGACATTCAGAGAATGTTCTCCACCCACATGAGTCCTGGGGCATGCCACAAAGGGACCCTGATTCCCTATCAACAATCAGCCCTTCTTCTGAAGCTCAGGAGCATTGGACAAGGCACTGGCTGGAACCAGAAGATCAGGTAGGTGTCTTGTCTCTACCACTCTCTGGTTAATGGACATGGAGCCAACATGTTGACCTCTGAATCTCAAAGTCCCCATCTATAAAATGGGAGTACATCTGTCCTGTCTACCCAGTTTTATATGGATCAACTTGGCCAACCTAGGGCAAGAAAACCATAATCTATGGAGCAAAGAATTACATGTTCCACCTGCATGTGTCCAACTGATCAGGACCTAAGATCCTTCCCTTCAATCCCACCCACTTGCTAGAGAAGTAACATCATTTTCTAATCCTGTCCTTTCATCCTTGACTCCAGATCCAAGTCACAACCTGCTCTCTTCCTCTTCCATGTTACAGTATTATTTCCCCCACCCTATAAAGTTGTACCTTTTATCTCTTCCCCATCCTTATTTTTCTTGACTTTCACACTTTGTCTTAATTAATGAGCAAACATACTTGCACAAGCTCAAATACACACACACACACACACACACACACAAAATTGATTAAGCCCAGCCTCCCATACATTGCCCATTCCATTCCACAAACACAGCCTCTAGATCCCCAGCCCCAGCCCTGTGTGGTCTTGGGGGAGGGGGCTCATACTTCTTTAACTTCCTTATTAGCATCCTCCACTTTCTTTGTCTCCTCTGTATTTATATCATCAGCCTGAAAAAGAAATGGGGAAAGAGAACAAACAAGAATGAGTTTATTCCTGTTCTTAGCTCTAGATCATGCAAAAAAAAAAAAAAAAACAGTAGCCACAAGGACTAAGACACAAGGTCCAGAGACATCCAAATCAGGGTTCCTCCTACCTCCACCTTATTCTCTGAGGCCAGTGGTTCTGAGGCTAAATCGGTTGGTTCCTCTTCCTGCTGAGGCTTATCTTCAGGGAGTTCACCAATATTTTCAGGCTGGTCCTTCCCCTGAAATCAGCAGTTAGGGAAAAGGCAACAGTAAAGTTGCCCTCCTTCCCTCTTCATTTAGTATCCCACACATTCCCAACTTCTGGGACTTCCCAGAGTATTCACATGCCAGAGAATTCCTTCATCCTGAGAGATCTATGGACACATCCCTAAAAAGCCTGGATTGTCTGTCTCTTTTACTCACCATTGGTCCCACATGGATTGGGGTGTAGATGGTTCAAATCCCCTCAGGTCTGTGTTCCTCTAGCCATGGATGGGTAGATAGAGTGGAAGGGAAGACCTATGATGTCATAAAGGCAGCTATGACTCAGGCACAAGATAGTTGAGCCACCAGTAGTTGAGCTCCCTCCAAGGAAAAGACAAAAGTGTTGTGCATTCTTTTCTCCTGGAAATGGCCAAAGGTCTGAATACCAAAGCAAGACACCAGAAATGCTGGCCCATTGATGTAAAGGTGTGTAAAAATAACCAGTCATTGGTAATAGTCCCAGTTGGTAGACTTAATATATTTTCTTAAAGATGTTATTTATTTATTCATGAGAGACACACACAGAGAGAGGCAGAGACACAGGCAGAGAGAGAAGCAGGCTCCATGCAGGGAGCCCGATGTGGGACTCAATCCAGGGACTCCAGGACCATGCCCTGAACCAAAGGCAGACACTTAACCACTGAGCCGCCAGGGCATCCCATATTCCCAGTTGGTAAACTTGAGAATTGATTTAAGTTGAACTCAATCCCGGGTCTCCAGGATCATGCCCTGGGTGGAAGGCAGGCGCTAAACTGCTGAGCCACTGGGGCTGCCCCTAATTTAAATTTTTAAAAAAGATGGCATCAGTAAATCCTTACCTATCAGTAAGTACTTTAAATGTAAGTGGGGGGCAGCCCCGGTGGCGCAGCAGTTTAGAGCCTCCTGCAGCCCAGGGCGTGATCCTAGAGACCCTGGATGGAGTCCCACGTAGGGCTCTCTGCATGGTGCCTGCTTCTCCCTCTGCCTGTGTCTCTGCCTCTCTCTCTCTCTCTCTCTCTCTCTCTCTTTGTGACTCTATGAATAAATAAATAAAATCTTAATAAATAAATAAATGTAAATGGGTTAAATTCTCCAATCAAAAGACATAGAGTGACTAAATGGACAAAACAAAAATGACCCAAGTATACCCTGCTTTACAGAGACTCACTTCAACTTTAAGGATACCATATAAGGGATGCCTGGGTGGCTCAGCAGTTGAGCGTCTGCCTTTGGCCCAGGGCATGATCCTGGGGTCCTGGGATCAAGTCCCACATCAGGCTCCCTGTGAGGAGTCTGCTTCTCCCTCTGCCTATGTCTCTGCCTTCTCTCTGTGTCTCTCATGAATAAATAAAATCTTTTTTTTTTAAAAAAAAAAAAGGATACATACCATATAAGCTAAAAGTGAAGGGATGGAAAAAGAGATTCCATACAAATGGAACCAAAGACTTACATTATCTGATTTCAAGACTTAACTGTCTTGGGATCCCTGGGTGGCGCAGCGGTTTAGCGCCTGCCTTTGGCCCAGGGCGCGATCCTGGAGACCCGGGATCAAATCCCACATCGGGCTCCCGGTACATGGAGCCTGCTTCTCCCTCTGCCTGTGTCTCTGCCTCTCTCTCTCACTGTGTGCCTATCATAAATAAAAAAAAATAAAAATAAAATAAAAAAGACTTAACTGTCTTGAAAGACTATAAAGTTACAATAATCAAGACAATGTGGTTTTAGTGTAAGATGATACAAACAGATCAATGAAACAGAATAAAGAAGTCAGAAATAGACGCACGTTTACACAATGTATTGATTTTTTTTTAATCCAGAAAATTTAGTGCAGAAAGGAAATGCATCTTCAATGGGGGGGGGGGATCTTGACCCTTATCTGAAATTATAGACAACACACACTCACACAGGATGGGTCATAGGCCTAAACAAAACTAAAGCTAAAACTGTAAAGCTTGTAGAAGAAAACCCATGAGAATTATTTTGTGACCTTGGAGTTGACAGTTTCTTAGACATGACAGAGAAAACACTAAGTATAAAAGATAGAATGATTTCATCCAAATTAAAACTGTCTTTTCACCAAAAGACAGCATTTTTAAAAGTCTGCTAGGGAGCTCACTCCAGCAGCACATATATTAAAACTGGAATGAGGGATCCCTGGGTGGCGCAGCAGTTTAGCGCCTGCCTTTGGCCCAGGGCGCGATCCTGGAGACCCAGGATCGAATCCCACGTCGGGCTCCCAGTGCATGGAGCCTGCTTCTCCCTCTGCCTGTGTCTCTGCCTCTCTCTCTCTCTGTGTGACTATCATAAATAAATAAAAATTTAAAAAAAAAAACTGGAATGATACAGAGAAGATTAGCATGGCCCCTGTGCAACCATGACACACAAATATCTGAAATGTTCCATATTTTTCAGCATGGTGACCAAAGTCGACAAGACTATATGGTGAGTTTGAAAGTTGCTAAGAGAGTAAATCTTAAAAATTCTCTTAAAACTGACTGGGTGGCCCAGTCAGTCAAGCGTCTGGCCAGCTCAGGTCATGATCTCAGGTACTTGGGATTGAGCCTCACATCTGCACTCCATCCTCAGCAGGATGTCTGCTTGTCCCTCTGCCTCTGCCTCTCCCCCTACTTGTTCTCTCTTTCTCTCAAATGAATAAATAAAAACTTTCCCAAAAAAAGTTATCTTAAGAAAAAAACCCTCTGTAACTGTGTAGTGATAGATGTTAACTAGACTTACTGTGGTAAGGATTTTGCAATATATACAAATATCAAATCATGCTGTACATCTGAAACTAATATAATCCTGTATGTCAATTATACCTCAAATTTCTAAAAGGTCAAAAAAAATTTTTTTAAAGGTCACACACAGACTGAGGAAAAGAACATTTGAGAGAGAGAGAATGTATATATTGTGTATATATACATTATACATATACATATATACATATACATATGTATGCATTATACATATACAAAGATGTCATATCCTGGCTAGAACTTCTGCAACTTGAGAATAAAGATAAGAAACCCAATAAAAATGTCCAAAGACTTAAATCAATACTTCATAAAAGAAGATATACAGGGGCACTTGGCTGGCTCAGTAGAGCATGTGACTCTTGATCTTGGGGTTGTGAGTTTGAGCCCCATGCTGGATGTAGAGATTACTTAAAAATTAAATCTTTATGGGGTGCCTGGGTGGCTCAGTCAGTTAAACATCTGCCTTCAGCTCAGGGTCATGATCAGACCCACATCAGGCCTGCTTGGCAGGGAAACTGCTTCTTCCTCTCCCATGCCCCTGCTTGTGTGTGCTCTGTCAAATAAATAAAATATTTTTTTAAAAAAAGTAAAGTCTTTTTTTTTAAGGTTTTATTTATTCACGAGAGACACAAAGAGAGGCAAAGACATAGGCAGAGGAAGGAGAAGCAGGCTCCATGCAGGGAGACTGATGTGGGACTCGATCCTGGGACTACAGGATCATGCCCCGAGCCAAAGGCATATGCTCAACCACTGAGCTACCCAAAAAGTAAAATCTTCAGGGGCATCTCAGTAGCTCAGTCAAACATCCAACTCAGCTCAGGTTATGATCTCAGGGTCATAAGATCAAGCCCCACATCAGGCTCCACACATAGGCATGGAGCTTGCTTAAGATTCTTTCTCCCTCTCTCTCTGTCCCACTCCCACCCTCTGTAACCCACCCACCCACCCACACATGAACAGTTTCTCAACTTCATTACTGATTAGGGAAAGGCAAAACTAAAACCACAATGGGATACCACTATTTATCCATTAAAATGGCTAATTTTTTTTTTTTTTTTTTTTTTTTTTTTAGAAACTTAGAACCAGATATTGGCAAAATGGAACAACCAATTTGGAAATTAGTTTGGCTGCTCCTGATAAAATTAAGCATACATCTATTCTGTGACTAAACAATTCCACTAGGGGGCATTTACTCAAGAGAAATGAAAATGTATGTTCACAAAAAAACTTGTACCGGAATGCTGAAAGCATTAAATTTATAACAACTAAATACTGGAGACAAGTCAAATGTCTATAAATAGGAGAATGGATAAATATTATGGATATACTCATAAAATATTATTAAACCATAAAAAGCAAAGAACTAATGATACAAGCAATGATATTGACAGATCTTACAGACATCATGTTGAGGGGGGAAAATCAAACAAAAAACAGAGCATATTGTATAATTCCATATATAAAGTTTGACAACATACAAAACTAACACACAAAACTAACACATGTGATAGAAATCAGAACTGTGGTTGCTCTGGGAATTGGGATGGATTAGAAAAAGGAACAAAGGAACTTTCTGGGGTGATAGAAATGTCCTATACCTTGATGAGGTATAGATTTATGAGATATATGCATTTGTGAAGATCCATTTAACTGAATATTTAACATTTCTTGATTTCACTATACACAAATTATACCTTGATTTTTTTTAATGAAATTAAAGCCATTTTCAGAAAAATAGAAGTCAGAAAACAAAATTGCTAGCAGATTCACACTACAAGAAATGTTAAAGGAAGATCCTAAATGGAAGCCCACATCAGCAGGTAGAAATGATGGTCCAAAAGTAGTAAATGTTGGGCAAATAGAAAAGACCATCTTTTTTTAAGTTTAAAATTTTAATTCCAGGATAGTTAACATACAGTGTTATATTAGCTTCTGGTTTACAATATAGTCATTCAACAATTTTATACATTGCTCAGTGCTCATTACAACAAGTGCACTCCTTATTCCTGGTTATATATTTCACTCCTCCCCCAGCCACTTTTCCTCTGGTAACCATCAGTTTGTTCTCAACATAGTTAAGAGTCTGCTTCTTAGTTTTTCTCTCTTTCTCTCTCTCTTTCTCTCTTTTCCCTTTATTCATTTTGTTTCTAATAATCCAGATGTGAATGAAATCATGTGGCATTTGTCTTTCTCTGATGTATCACGTACCATTATACTCCCTAGATCCATCATGTTTTGTAATGGCAAGCTTTCATGCTTTTTGTGGCTGAATAATGTTCCCTCATGTATATACATACCACATTTCCAAAATTTATTTATTTATTTATTTATTTATTTATTTATTTGAGAGAGAGAGTATGACTGAGAGGGGCAGAGGGAAAGGGAGAGAGAATCTCAGGCAGATTTCATGCTGAGCATGGCACCTGATGCAGGACTTAATCACAAGACCCTGATACCAACCTAGGCTGAAACCAAGAGTCACACACTTAACTGACTAGGCCACAAGAATTCCCACATATTCTTTATTCATTCATCTACTGATGAACACTTGGGCTGCTTCTATAATATGGCTATTGTAAATAATGCTGTGATATAAGGGTGCATATATCCTTTAAAATACATGTGTTTATATCCCTTTTTTGAAATTCTTTATATAAATTCAATTTAGTTAACATATAGTGTATTATTAGTTTCAGAGGTAGAATTTCATGATTCATCAGGTGCACATAACACCCAATGCTCATTATATCAAGTGCCCTCCTTAATGCTCAACAACCAATTACCCCATCCTTCCACCTACCTCCCCTCCAACAACCCTGTTTGTTTCCTAGAGTTCATCAACTCTTATGGTTTGCCTCACTCTCTGTTCTCATCTTATTTTATTTTTCCCTTCCCTTCATCTATGTCCATCTGTTTTGTTAAATTCCATGTATGAGTAAAATCGTACGGTATTTGTCTTTCTCTGACTGACTTATTTCACTTAGCATAATACCCTCTAGTTCCATCCCTGTTGTTGCAAATGACAAGATTTCATTCTTTTTGATGGTTGAGTCATAGTCCATTGTGTATACACACCACATCTTCTCTTTTTTAAAATTTCATTTTTTTGAGAGAGAGAGAGCAAGAGCACAAGCAGAGGGTGGGGCAGAGGGAGAAGCAGACTCCCTGCTGAGCAGAGAGCCCAATACCAGGCTCAACCTCAGGATCCCGGGATCATGACGTGAACCAAAGGCAGATGCTTAACCAACAGAGCCACCCAGATGCCCCTATACCACATCTTCTTTAACCATTCATCTGTCGATGGACATCTGAGCTCTTTCCGTATTTTGGCTATTGTGGACATTGCTGCTATAAACATTGGGGTGCATGTGCCCGTTCGATCACTAGGTTTGTATCCTTTGGGTAAATACCTAGCAGTGCAATTGCTGGGTCATAGGGTAGTTCTCTTTTTTCCTTTTTTTTTTAAGATTTTATTTATTTATTCATGAGAGACACACAGAGACAGGCAGAGACATAGGCAGAGGGAGAAGCAGGCTCCTTGAAGGGAGCGGAACCTCCATACTGTTTTCCAGAGTGGCTGCAGCAGCTTGCATTCCCATCAACAGCGTAAGAGAGGCCCCCTTGCTCGTCAACATATGTTGCTTCCTGAATTGTTATTTTTAGCCATTCTGACTGGTGCGAGGTGGTATCTCATTGTGGTTTTGATTTGTATTTCCCTGATGCCGAGTGATGTTGAGCATTTTTTCATGTGTCTGTTGCCCATGTGTTTGCTATGTCTTCTTTGGAGAAATGTCTGTCATGTCTTCTGCCCATTTCTTCACAGGGTTGTTTTTTGGGTATGGAGTTTGATAAGTTCTTTCTAGACTTTGGCTACTAAGCCCTTTATTTGCTATGTCATTTGCAAATATCTTCTCCCATTCCATCGGTTGCCCTTTAGTTTTGTTGACTGTTTCCTTTGCTGTGCAAAAGGTTTTTATTCCAAGGAAGTCCCAATAGTTCATCTTTGCTTTTGTTTCCCTTGCCTTTGGAGACATGTCTAGCAAGAAGGTGCTGGGGCTAAGGTCCAAGAGGTTGCTGCCTGTGTTCTCCTCTAGGATTTGGATGGATTCCTGTCTCACATTTAGGTCTTTCATTCATTTTGGGTTTATTTTTGCATATGGTGTAAGAACGTGGTCCAGTTTCATTCCTCTGCGTGTGGCTGTCCAATTTTCCCAACACCATTTGTTGAAGAGACTTTTTTTTCCATTGGGTATTCTTTTCTGCTTTGTCAAAGATTAGTTGACTCTAGTGTTGAGGGTCCATTTCTGGGTTCTCTATTCTATTCCATTGATCTATGTGTCTGTTTTTGTGCCACTACCATGCTGTCTTGATGATTACAGCTTTGTAATACAACTTGAAGTCAGGAATTATGACGCCTCCAGCTTTGGTTTTCTTTTCTTTTCTTTTTTTAAGATTTTATTTATTTATTCATGAGAGACACACAGAGAGAGGCAGAGACATAGGCAGAGGGAGAAGCAGGCTCTCTGCAGGGAGCCCAATGTAGGACTTAATCCCAGAATTCCAGGACCACACCCTGAGCCAAAAGCAGACATTCAATACTGAGCCACCCAGGTATCACTGGTTTTCTTTTCAACATTACTTTGGATAATTGGGGTCTTTTCTTGTTCCATACAAATTTTAGGATTATTTGTTCTAGCTCTGTGAAAAATGTTGATGGTATTTCAATAGAAATTGCATTAAATGTGTAGATTACTTTGGGTAGCATAGACATTTTAACAATATTTGTTTTTCCAATCCATGAGCATGGAATGTTTTCCCATTTTTTTGTGTCTTCCTCAATTTCTTTTTTTTAAATTTTATCTTTTTTTAAAAGATTTTATTTATTCATAGAGACAGAGAGAGAGGGGCAAGACATAGGCAGAGGGAGAAGCAGGCTCCATGCATGGAGCCCGATGTGAGACTCGATACGGGTCTCCAGGATCACACCCCAAGCTGCAGGCGGCGCCAAACCACTGCACCACCGGAGCTGCCCCTTCCTCAATTTCTTTATAAGTGTTCTATAGTTTCAGAATACAGATCCTTTGCCTCTAGTGTTTTTGTATTCTTTGGGTAAATACCCAGTAGTGTGATCATAAAATGGTTCTCTTTTTAAAATTTTGAGGAACCTCCATACTGTTTCCCAAAGTGGCTGCACCAGTTTGCATTCCCACCAGCAGTGCATGAGGCTTCCTTTGTCTCCACATCCTTACCAACACTCTTTTCTTGTAGTTTTGACTCTGGCCATTCTGACAGGGGCAAAGTGATATCTCATTGTGGTTTTGATTTGTGTTTCCCTGCTGACAAGTGATGTTAAGCATCTTCTCATGTGTCTGTTGGCCATCTGAATGTCTAGAAAAGACCATCTTTTAAAATTCCTTAAAATACCACGGACCCCAGTGCCAGCAAGATGGAACCAAGAGTACTACAGTTAATCTCTCCCAGTAATGACAATTGAAAACTCTGCATAAGAGTGCAGAAAGCAACTGGACCCTGGAAAGTGGACAATAGCAGGTGGATTAGGGAAGAAAATCTTAAAGAACAATCAGTTCTGGTTTCCATGTCATAATTGAAGGCAGCCCAAAATGCAGAACTACACTTGTGTGGATGGCAAATAATCTGAGAGGAAGCCCCTCTTTCTTACCAGAGCATCAGAGAAAGTCACCTCCTCAAGCAAAGATTATGGACATTTTTTTCCTCCTCCTCCCCCATTTTCCTGTTTGTTCTCATGACTCATCCCATGGTAAAGTCACAGAGCTGCACTGCCACAGTGGTGGCCCTTTGAGCTTGTGAAAAATCACCTCCTTGGTTAGAGGAAACATCCAGGATACAGTCCAGAATTACTTACTCAACATATAAGAGCCAGGAAAATCTGATTAATTCTTAAGGAAAAAGACCATCGTTTAATATTAGAAGTATCAGATAACAATGTTTAAAGTTATTATACACATCTTCCATGATGGCAAAAGTGAACCCTTTCTAAATGAATGGAAACATAGTTCTCAGAAGATACAAAAATGAAAACAAAAGTGGGGTGCCTGATTTCTATACACTAACAATGAGACTGAAGAAAGAGAAATTAGGAGTCAATCCCATTTACAATTGCACCCAAAAGCATAAGATACCTAGGAATAAACCTAACCAAAGAGGTAAAGGATCTATACCCTAAAAACTATAGAACACTTCTGAAAGAAATTGAGGAAGACACAAAGAGATGGAAAAATATTCCATGCTCATGGATTGGCAGAATTAATATTGTGAAAATGTCAATGTTACCCAGGGCAATTTACACGTTTAATGCAATCCCTATCAAAATACCATGGACTTTCTTCAGAGAGTTAGAACAAATTATTTTAAGATTTGTGTGGAATCAGAAAAGACCCCAAATAGCCAGGGGAATTTTAAAAAAGAAAACCATATCTGGGGGCATCACAATGCCAGATTTCAGGTTGTACTACAAAGCTGTGGTCATCAAGACAGTGTGGTACTGGCATAAAAACAGACACATAGATCAATGGAACAGAATAGAGAACCCAGAAGTGGACCCTGAACTTTATGGTCAACTAATATTCGATAAAGGAGGACTATCCTCCTTTATAAAGACTATCCACTGGAAGAAAGACAGTTTCTTCAATAAATTGTGCTGGGAAAATTGGACATCCACATGCAGAAGAATGAAACTAGACCACTCTCTTGCACCATACACAAAGATAAACTCAAAATGGATGAAAGATCTAAATGTGAGACAAGATTCCATCAAAATCCTAGAGGAGGGATCCCTGGGTGGCGCAGCGGTTTAGTGCCTGCCTTTGGCCCGGGGCACGATCCTGGAGACCCGGGATCGAATCCCACGTCGGGCTCCCTGCATGGAGCCTGCTTCTCCCTCTGCCTGTGTCTCTGCCTCTCTCTCTCTCTCTCTGTGACTATCATGAATAAATAAATAAAATCTTTTAAAAAAAAAAAAAAAACAAAACAAAATCCTAGAGGAGAACACAGGCAACACCCTTTTTGAACTCAGTCACAGCAACTTCTTGCAATATACATCCATGAAGGCAAAAGAAACAAAAGCAAAAATGAACTATTGGGACTTCATCAAGATAAGAAGCTTTTGCACAGCAAAGGATACAGTCAACAAAACTAAAAGACAACCTTCAGAATGGGAGAAGATATTTGCAAATGACGTATCAGATAAAGGGCTAGTTTCCAAGATCTATAAAGAACTTATTAAATTCAACACCAAAGAAACAAACAATCCAATCATGAAATGGGCAAAAGACATGAACAGAAATCTCACAGAGGAAGACATAGACATGGCCAACACGCACATGAGAAAATGCTCTGCATCACTTGCCATCAGGGAAATACAAATCCAAACCACAATGAGATACCACCTCACACCGGTGAGAACGGGGAAAATTAACAAGGCAGGAGACCACAAATGTTGGAGAGGATGCAGAGAAAGGGGAACCCTCTTACACTTTTGGTGGGAATGTGACCTGGTGCAGCCACTCTGGAAAACTGTGTGGAGGTTCCTCAAAGAGTTAAAAATAGACCTGCCCTACGACCCAGCAATTGCACTGCTGGGGATTTACCCCAAAGATACAGATGCAATGAAACGCCGGGACACCTGCACCCCAATGTTTATAGCAGCAATGTCCACAATAGCCAAACTGTGGACGGAGCCTCGGTGTCCATCAAAAGATGAATGGAGGGATTCCTGGGTGGCGCAGCGGTTTAGCGCCTGCCTTTGGCCCAGGGCGTGATCCTGGAGACCCAGGATCAAATCCCATGTCGGGCTCCTGGTACATGGAGCCTGCTTCTCCCTCTGCCTGTGTCTCTGCCTCTCTCTCTGTGTGTGACTATCATAAATATTTAAAAATGTCAAAAAAAAAAGATGAATGGATAAATAAGATGTGGTTTGTGTATACAATGGAATATTACTCAGCCATTAGAAATGACAAATACCCATCATTTGCTTCAACGTGGATAGAACTGGAGGGTATTATGCTGAGTGAAATAAGTCAATCAGAGAAGGACAAACATTATATGTTCTCATTTGGGGAATATAAATAATAGTGAAAGGGAATAGAAGGGAAGGGAGAAGAAATGGGTAGGAAATATCAGAAAGGGAGACAGAACATAAAGACTCCTAACTCTGGGAAACGAACTAGGGGTGGTGGAAGGGAGGAGGGCGGGGGGTGGGGGTGAATGGGTGCCGGGCACTGAGGGGGGGCATTGACGGGATGAGCACTGGGTGTTATTCTGTATGTTGGCAAATTGAACACCAATAAAAAATTTATTATTTAAAAAAAAAAGTGGGGTGCCTGGCTGGCTCAGTTGGTAGGGCATACAACTCTCGATCTTGGGGTCATCAGCTCAAGCCCCACAATGGGTGTAGAGATGACTTAAAAATAAACTCTAAAAAGAGGAACCATGTGGAAATTCTAGAACTATAAAATGCAATATCTGAAATAAAGAACTCCCTGATAGGCTCATCAGCAGAATGCACAGGACAGAGAAATCAGTCAGTAAGCTTGAATACAGAGGAATAGAAATGAGTATCCAAAGAGAGAAAAAAAATACTGAGAAAAAAATTAAAAGAGCCTCAGCAACCTGTGTGACAATAATGGGTCTAATACTTATTAGTCCCAGAAAGAAGAAATTGATGTAGAAGAAACTTTTGAAGAAAGGCTAAGAGGGATCCCTGGGTGGCGCGCAGTTTGGCGCCTGCCTTTGGCCCAGGGTGCGATCCTGGAGACCCGGGATCGAATCCCACGTCAGGCTCCCGGTGCATGGAGCCTGCTTCTCCCTCTGCCTGTGTCTCTGCCTCTCTCTCTCTCTCTGTATGACTATCGTAAATAAATAAATAAATAAATAAAATTAAAAAAAAAATAAACCATTTAAAAAAAAAGGCTAAGGGATCCCTGGGTGGCGCAGCGGTTTGGCGCCTGCCTTTGGCCCAGGGCGCGATCCTGGAGACCCGGGATCGAATCCCCACGTCGGGCTCCCAGTGCATGGAGCCTGCTTCTGCCTCTCTCTCTCTGTGTGACTATCATAAATAAATAAATTTAAAAAAAAAAAAATTTAAAAAAAAAAAAAAAAAAAAAGGCTAAGAACTTCCCAAATTTCTGAAAGACATAAATTTACAGATTCAACAATCTCAGCAAACACCGAAAATGATATACTCAATGACCAAAAAAAAAAAAAAAAAAAAGCAAATGAGCAAAGGACTTGAATAGGCATTTATCCAAAGAAAATATCTGAATGCCCAATAAGTGCACGAAGATACCTGACATCGTTAGGGAAATGCATATCAAAACTGCAATGTTGGGGTGCCTGGGTGGCTCAGTAGGTTAAGCTTCTGCCTTCGGCTTTAGTCATATCAGGGTCCTGGGATGGTGCCCCCGCATTGGGCTCCCTGCTCAGCAGGGAGTCTGCTTCTCCCTCTGCGGCTCCCCACTGCTTGTGCTATTGAAAAAAACAAAAAGCAAACAAACCTACACTGTGACACCATCTCACACTCAGGATGGCTGTATCAAAAACAAAACAGAAAACAAGTGTTGGCAAGGATGTGGAGAAATATGAACCCTTGTACACTGTTGGTGAGAATGTAAAATGGTGCAGCCACTGCAGAAAGCCGTATGGAGATTCCTCAAAAAATTGGCAATAGAATTTACCATATGTCTCAGCAATTCCACTTGTAGGCATACACCCAAAAGAAATGAAAGGCATCTCGAAGAAAGATTTGTACAGCCATGTTTGTAGCAGCATTACTTACAATAGCTAAAACATGGAAGAAACCCAAGTGTCCACTGGCAGAGGGATAAACAAAATGTGGTATATACACACAATGGCATATTATTCAGTCTTAAAGAGAAAGAGAATATTGCACTTGCTACAATATGAATGCACCCTGAGGACATTATGGTAAGTGAAATAAGCCAGTCACAAAAAGGCAAATATTGGGCAGCCCGGGTGGCTTAGCAGTTTAGCGCCGCCTTCAGCCAAAGGCATGATCCTAGAGACCCAGGATCAAGTCCCACATCAGGCTCCCTGCATGGAGCCTGCTTCTCCCTCTGCCTGTGTCTCTGCCTCTGTGTGTGTGTGTGTGTATCTCATGAGTAAATTAAAAAAATCTTAAAAAAAATAAAAGGCAAATACTGAATGATGCCACTTGTATGAGGTACGTGGAGTAGCTGAAATCATGGAAAGTAAAATGATTGCCAGGGGTTGTGGGAGTTATTGTTTCACAGGTATAGAGTTTCAATTTGCAAGCATTAGAGGAATGCACAGTGGTGACAGCTGCACTAACAATGCCAACGTATCTAATGTCACCGAATTGTAAGCATAAAGATGGTTACAATGGTGGGGCACCTGGATGGCTCAGTCCACTAAGCATCCAACTCTTGATTTCAGCTCAGGTCATGATCTCAGGGTCATGGGATCCAGCTCTGCACCAAGCCCTCCGTGCCCAGCATGGAGCCTGCTTAAGATTCTCTCCCTCGGGATCCCTGGGTGGCGCAGCGATTTAGCGCCTGCCTTTGGCCCAGGGCACGATCCTGGAGACCCGGGATCGAATCCCATGTCGGGCTCCCGGTGCATGGAGCCTGCTTCTCCCTCTGCCTGTGTCTCTGCCCCCCCCCTCTCTGTGACTATCATAAATAAATAAAAAAAATTTAAAAAAAAAAAAAGATTCTCTCCCTCTCTGCCCACACCCTCAACCCCTTCAACCCCACCCCCACTCCATATGCAATCTCTCTTAAAAATAAATAACCTCTTCTAATCAATAATGACATCAGCATAAAAAATGATAATGATAAGCTTTTGTTACATCTTAACACAATAAAAAACAAAGATACATCCAAGAAAACCATACTCAGGCATATCACAAACTGTTGAAAATCAAAGATGAAAAAAATTATAAAAGCAGCCAGAAGAAAAATGATGCATTATTTATAGAGGAGCAAGGATTCAAGACTGTGGATTTCTCCAAATAGGAGTGTACCATGGGAAAGGGGTTCATGTATTAAGGTGCACTGCCGTGTTGCTATGCCATGGCTTTTGGAAAGTGTGTGTATGCCATCACTGAGCTCAATGTGAGGCAAGACACAGGAAGCGAATTCTATCACCATCTTCTGATTCAGAACAGGATTTTCAGGGCTTTGATCTGAACCTGACCTCTCTGGCCCCAGGTGAAATGAAGGCAGGCGAGAGCAGGTCTGTCTGAGGGGAAGCCTCCTGAGCATGGTAGCAGGAGAGAAGCCCTGTGACTTCCTCCCGAGGGGACCATGCTGCCTCTTGGTTGAGCCCAATGGGTTACAAAAAGGTTAGAGCAGAACCCATAACATTTCCTTTTTCCCATTAAGAGGACACTTTCCTGCACTTCTACATCTCTGGTCTGTCTCTCCTGGCTCCGCCAGTGGCAGGAGTAAATTGTCCAGTAGATAAAATCAGCAAAAAGCACATTCTTGTGACAGCCTGGCTGGCATTCAGACCAAGGGCAGAGCTATTCTCAACTCTGACACTTGTCCTCAGGTAGTAGGCAGTGTGGTATCCCCCTCCCCCACCCATCTCTAGCTTCCTGAACTGGCCTGAGTGGGCCAGGTCAGCCTGACATGCAGGCCTAGCTTTCTTCATTTCAATTCTGACTGACAGCCAGCCCTGGTACATAATTGGACAGCCATGGCTCCCTAGCCAAGGGGTCTGCAGCTTCTGACCCCTCGCAGCCCAGAGCAGTGGGTGGGGAGCTGGCCTAATAAGGTCACAGAGGATACTCAAGAGACCAGGAGGTGGATGAGGTCTCCATCCCCAGGTTCCATGGAAGGACAGAAAGCCCTTAGGCATCAGAGATGCTGGTGGGAGCCCTGCCCCACCCCACAGTCCTGCCATCACCCTCCCTCCCCAGCCGAGAAGCTTCAAGAGACAAAGCCCAAAAGAGGAGGCTTTTAATACAAAGAGGGCAGGGCCTGGTCTGGAAAGGACTTAAATAAAGGGGAGAGGAGTCAGGAGCCTGCCGCAGGGGGCCTGGGTGCCCTGTGGAGTGGGATGATGCAGACGGAGTTCCGAGCCTCTTTGATGCGCCACCAGCGGCCAAGCCTGCAGGGGGCAGAAGGGAAGCAGCTGAGGCCAGGCCCAGCCCCCTGCACCCCATCTGGTAGCCCAGCCAGCGCCACCTCCCAGGGTGCCTCATACCTGTGCTCCTGCCCGACCCCAGCCACCAGGAAATCCCCCGAACTGGAGAACTTGAGGCTATTAATAAAACCCACCTGAGAAGAGGGAGAGATGTGGGAAAATGTGAGGACAGACCCCTCCCACACCTTCCCCTACCCCTCCCCCACGCCTCCCTAGCACCACAGCCCTGGCCTCACTGCCACAGGCTTGGCCCTAGGAGCTTAAATCCCTGCTATGCCCCAGCAGATCAGGGCCCCCTGATCAGTCCCTGACCCCTCAGGGCCTCAGCCTCCACGTCTGTGAGATGGAGGGAAACATCACGCTGGACTCACAGGCAGTTTGTGAGGATTTAAGGAAACAGTAAAAGCCAAATACGTCACGTTTCAGGGGTGGCCTAAGGCGTGGCTCCCAGCTGTGAGGTCCCGGAGACCCCATGGCCATCACCAAGCCCTGCGCTGTCACCAGATGTTACCGACCATCCTGCCATCTCCCTCAGGGCACCCTGTGTCCACACCTCCTAGCCTGGGCCCAATCTGGCACCATTGGTGCCATTATAGCATCAGACACCCCCATGCCTTTGCACATGCTGTGCCCTGCTGTGTCCTAGCCTTGTTCCCCTGTACCCAGGACAGGGTGGAGGGGAATGTATAAGAAGAGAGGTGGGGGGAGACGGGAGAGGAGGAAGGAGGAAGGGTTCTGATCAGGCCCTGTGATAGGAGCTAGCACTATAAAAAAGACAAGTCATAGCCTTGCCCTGAGGAGCCTCCCCTCTGGCAAGAAAAAAACAATAAGGGGCTAATCCCAGGTGCCCTGAACTCTAGGGCCTCAGGAGTGTGGCAAAGATAGGCGAGACATTCAAGCCCCACTTACCAGGGGAATGTCGCAGAGAGGTTCAAGCTGCCGGAAGCCCTCCCCACACTGCCAGAGCCGCACGCAAGAGTTGTGGGAGCCTGAGAGGTCAGGGAGATAGTGAGCGCCCCCGCACTGGCCCACCCTGCAACCCCCTCTTTTCTGCCTCAAAGGATACCCACCTGTGGCTACAAGGTCCGTGTTGAGCAGGGCCGCCACTGCTGATACCCAGAAGGGCTGCTCGAGGCCTGGCTCCCCCCGCAGCCCATGGGCCTCACGCTGCAGGGCGAGCGGCCGCTTCTTAGAGAGACCCCACAAGGCCACAGAGCTGTGGACAAAGAACATAATTGGCAAGAGGCTGGGGTAGGGCAGAAAGGCCACTCAGCAGAAAGGAATCCCACTGCCACAAGGGAAGGTTCCTGGAGGCAAGTCCAGGAGCAGCGGTAGTGGTGCAAGGCATCCCAAAGGCAGCTCTTACCCATCATCTGCGCCCGATACCATGTGCTCCTCATTGATAAGCTGGATGCTGTCGATGGAGCCCCTGGCAAAAGGAACAGTGAGGGGCACAGCCCCACCCCAGCCCCTCTCCCCTGACCTGGCCCAGTGGATAGCCTTACTGGTGGCCATAGAAGACAAGCTGGGACTCCTCAGGAATCTTCCACACACGCACCGTCCCGTCCCGGCCCCCAGCCGTCACACAGCACTCCCTGCTCAAGGCATCCAGCGCAGCGACGGCATCCTGGTGCCCAAAGCTGGAGGGGGAGAGGGGACAGAGGGAGGATGGGGTCCCAGGTGCACTGGCACATGCATCTGCACACCCTTTCCCCGTGCACACTCACAGTGTCTCCACATAGGAGTTCTCTGCCACGTTCCACACCTTCACAGAGCGGTCATGGGATGTGCTATAGAGCTGGTGGGTTCCTCTGCGGAATGCCAGACCCTACAGATACATGGACAGGAAGCAAAAGTGGACCTGGACCACAGCAGGCGAGACAGAAGTCCTCGCCAGGGGAGGATTTCCTCCTAAAAAGCACGTCACAAGCCCAGGGAGGCAGGGGTGCACTCCTGAGCAGCCTCCCCACTCCCTAGGCAAGCTCAGTCTCCCCCTAATTCCCCTTCACCTCCTTTATGCCCCTGAGGATGGACACCCTCTGCCTCATTCAGCCCACTGCCCCAGCCCGGCCCACTTGGTTGCTTGGTAAATGCCCACAGCTCCTACCGACACGGCATCCCGATGGCCTGTGAAAGTGTACAGGTGCTGGCAGCTCTGGGCCTCCCATATGAGAATGAGCTTGCTGCGGTCACCCGAGGCCTATGGGGATGAGGACAATGGCCACAGGCACCCAATGTGTGCCCCCGACTCTCGCCCACCCCCCGGGGCCAGCCCTGCCTTACAAGGTACTTGCCGTCAGAGGAGATGGCCATGCAGAGAATATGGCTGCTGTGGCTGGGGGGTTGCCCCTCAACACCCTTCTTGGCCCGTGGGATCACGTGAAGCTTCCGTCCAGTCTCCACGCTCCCTGACAACAGGAAAGAGAAAGGTTACTGGGACAGAGGGTAGGACTGGCTGGCAACCCCCTCAGGGGCAGCACGGGGCTGTGGAGAAAGTGGTGCCTTCAGAGCAGAACTCAGCTCGGCTGCCGTGAGCCCCTGTATAATCCCCAGGTTCCTCATCTGTCACCCAGTGACAGTAACCCCCAAGGGCAGCCACGAAGCCCCAGAGAGGATAGGAAAGTGCCGTAGGACCAAGGGTACGAGTTCTTCCAGTTTCTCCTAAGGGTGGATGAAAACAGTACTCAGCTGTCGAAGGGGGGTACCCAGGAAGACCGGGATGCAATCCCAGGACAGCACAGAGCCTCAAGTGTCCTCCAACTGCCCACCTACAGCACCAATCCCCATTCATCAGTATCCTGCCTCTGTTCAATCGCCTCCAATGACAGCGACGGGGAGCTCACAGCCCCACTCTTAGGCAGAAGCTTTCACTGGCACCCAGAGAACACCTCCTTAGGAATAAACTTATGTCCAGAAGCTTCCCCCACCAGGCCTCAGTCTGCCCTGATTAGTCCCTCCTCCACAGATCAGCCCTCCCAAAAGATCCCTGGGTCTGCACCCCCAAGCCAGGCTCACTCACACTTGATAATGGTGCAGTCTTTGGCAGCAGAGAAGATGGCAGAGTCATCGGGGGTGATGACCACACATGTGATGGAGAGCTGGTGCCCCCGTAAGACGCGGATGTCAGCCGGGGCTGGGCCCTGAATCTGGGCAAGCAGAGCGAGGTCACTGCCACAGAGGACAAGAAGGCCCCTAGATGCTCACTCACTCGCACACACACCACACGCGCACACACGCATGTACAAACACACACACACACACACACACACACACACACACACACACACCATCCTTTCCCACCACCCTGACCAGGGCTGCAAGGATCAGACCCTTACCTGACTCTGTCTGCCTAAGTGCCCACCATGTTCCAGAGCAAAAACCCCACAGCCTGAGTCCCCAGTTAGGCCATTCACTCACCTACCCACGTGGGACCCATGATTCACTTCAATCTTACATCAAAGTCCCCTGCCCGCTTACCTCCTTTGCCACCGACTTCTGCAGCCTGCCCCTCTGCTCCAGCTGCACAGAGAGGAGAGGGATGAGCTCCCAAGAGCAGGACCAGCCCAACCCTCCTCTCCCACCGCCTTCCCTCCACAACTCACCACATCCTCCTTCAGGCGCCCTGCCACCTGGTCCTCCTCAAATGCCCGGGCCTCGGCCTTCTCCTCCTCTATGCAAGGACAGACCAGACCAAGTCAATGTAGGCCTAGACTCCATTTTTCCCTTCCCATTCCCACCCCACCCCACTGCCTTGGTCTTGGGCTCCAAACACTTGGGTTGTGTCCCAAGGGAAGATCAGGCTGCCTTGGGCAAAGGAGAGATCTCCTCCTGCCTAACCCCTGCCATTACTTAGAGATTAGGCTAAAGCCCCCTGAAGGTCAGACCCACCCCAGGAGGCCCGTTAGTCTCCCAGCCACCCTCCTTCAGGAAAGCCCGCACCAGCAGCTCTGGCAATCCACCAGGTACCTGCTCAGCCACCCATCAGGCGGCTGGGGCACAGCAGGTGGTCTTGGACACAGGCCCTGCCCCTGCCTGCCAGTGCATGGGCTCACCTTGCTGCCTGAGCTGCTCCAGGTAGAGCTTGGCCAAGCGAAGCTTCTTCTCCTGGGCTGTCTCCTCCAGCTCCTCTTCCTCTTCCTCCTCAGTCTTCCTAGGAGCCAGACTGCGGGAAGGAAGGGAATAGCTCTCAGAGGGCTCACCCCACTCCTCCAGCCACTAAGACCATACCTCCTCACTGCTTCCTCTGGCACTCAACCACCCCCGTCTCATAGCCAACGATTACATATGCAGAAAACCCAAAGACTGAACTTGTCAAACTGAAAGGAACCACCCAGTCCTCACATGAGGGTGAAAAGAGACCCAAAATCCAAAGAGATCACTGTGAAATCTCTCAACTCTAGAGGGAAAGAGCAGTTTCTACAAGCTGTTGAAGAAAGGTCACATACGAAGGGTCTGGAATCAATAGCAACAGTGGTCAACAAAGGAGCCACATACACAAAATACTGAGCTGTTTACACAAGATGTGAACCCCTGGAAGGTCACACCAGTTAAACCCTCGATGACCAGTGAAGACACTGTTAGATGTACAAGCTGCCACAGGACTGGCCTTCTCTAAGCCTCACAACAGGATGAGGGACGTGCCCCAACACAAGACAGTCAGCTGGGAATGACAAAGGCATGGGAGACAAGGAACAGGAGCTCCAATACGGGAAGCAGAAAAAGGCAGATCCCAGACCATGCATCCCCAGACAGGGGAGCTATGGCCAGCCCAGATCTGATAAAAGGACCTAAGCAGGGGCAGCCCCAGTGGCTCAGTGGTTTAGCGCCACCTTCAGCCCAGGGCATGATCCTGGAGACCCGGGATTGAGTCCTACATCGGGCTCCCTGCATGGAGCCTGCTTCTCCCTCTGCCTGTGTCTCTGTCTCTCTCTCTCTCTCTGTGTGTCTCTCGTGAATAAATAAATAAAATCTTAAAAAAAAAAAAAAAAAAAAAAGGACCCAAGCAAGAGGCAGACACACTGGGGACGTGCCTACCTCACCCTCACTGCATCTACCCTGAGGACAGGATTCCAGGTGAAACATAACAACTGGTTTTGGCCTGACCTTGTGAAGCTTTCCATTACATGTCTCATATTCGCACTGGCTAGAGCACTCACCTCACTCAAGACACATCCTATGTAGACTTGCTCCTGGGAGCTACAGGCAGGCCACAGGAACCATCCCCCAATCTTGTGCCTGAAGATACCTAGTATCTGTCAAATGCCCCAACTGCTTCCCCAAGACTCATTTATGACTTTGTCCACAATGTCCCCAGAAGGGACCTTGGAAACTGCCAAGGAAGCCAAGGCTGAACCAGGCCCCAGAGACCATCTAGTACCCAGTGCCCAGCAAGCCTTCAGCCAACAGGCTTGGTTCTGCCCTTCCTGTATATATCTATGGTTAGAACTTCTGCTCAATTCACCCAAACTAATCAATCTATCGTTTAGGGGTTCACATGTAGGAGATAGAACTCTAAAGAAAAGCAAAGGAAGGGACGCTTGGGTGGCTCAGCAGTTTAACGCCTGCCTTCGGCCCAGGGTGTGATCCTGGAGTCCCGGGATCGAGTCCCACATCAGGTTCCCTGCATGGAGCCTGCTTCTCCCTCTCCCTATGTCTCTGCCTCTCTCTCTCTCTCTCATGAATAAATAAATAAAATCTTTAAAAAAAGAAAAGGAAGCATATAATCATATGACATCCTGGAAAAGGCAAAACTCTAGCGACAGTAGTCAGCAGGGGCTAGAGGGAGGGGGGCATGGACTCCAAAGGAGGGGGGGGTGGGAGTGTTGTGTGTGGCAGGAGGGGTTCTAGCGCATGATGAAACCCTTCCACACCTTCAGAGTGATGGTAGTTATACCACTATATGTGTTTGTCAAAACTCACATACTGTACACTAAAGAAAGTGAATATTACCATATGTAAATTATATCTGGTTAAGAAAATGAAAAGAGGGATCCCTGGGTGGCGCAGTGGTTTGGTGCCTGCCTTTGGCCCAGGGCGCGATCCTGGAGACCCGGGTCGAATCCCACGTCAGGCTCCTGGTGCATGGAGCCTGCTTCTCCCTCTGCCTGTGTCTCTGCCTCTCTCTCTCTCTCTGTGACTATCATGAATAAATAAATAAAATCTTTAAAAAAAAAAAGAAAAAAAATAAAAAAAAAAAAGAAAATGAAAAGAAAAAGGAGGAGGAAGAGGAAGAAGGAAGGGAGGGAGGGAAGGAGGGAGGGAGGGAGGGAGGGCAGGAAGGAAGGCAGGAAGGAAGGCAGGAAGGCAGGAAGGAAGGAAGGAAGGAAGGACGGAGAAAAACAAAGAAACAATTAAGTCAGGAATGCAGAGTTGGGGCCTCTAAATTCCTAACCTAAGTGGTGGGTGCACCGAGGTTCATCATCTCACCATTGCTCCCTATGGTCCAAATACATTTCATTGATTCTTCTGTATCTCATACATTCACAACACATTTTTTTTTTAAGATTTTTTTTTATTTATTTATTCATAGAGGCACAGAGAGAGAGAGAGAGGCAGAGACACAGGCAGAGGGAGAAGCGGGCTCCATGCAGGAAGCCCGACGTGGGACTCGACCCCGGGTCTCCAGGATCACGCCCTGGGCCGCAGGTGGCACTAAACCGCTGCGCCACTGGGGCTGCCCCACAACACATTTTTTAAACATTTAAAAGTGTTCGGCACAGGGCCAGGCACACCGCTACCCACAGTGATCTTAAAAGTAAGTATGTGAAGTCTTCCTGAGACCAGGTTAAGGCCAACTTGTGCTCAATGTTAGAAGCTGAATTTCTTTTTCTTTACGGTTTTTTTTTTATTTATTCATGAGAGACACAGAGAGACGGGCAGAGACACAGGCAGAGGGAGAAGCAGGCTCCATGCAGGGAGCCAGATGTGAGACTCGATCTCGGGACTCCAGGATCAGGAAAACTTTGGAACTTTATTTTTTTTTAATTCCCTGGGCTGAAGGCGGCGCTAAACTGCTGAGCCACCCAGGTGTCCCTAGAAGCTGAATTTCTAAAGTCAACTCTTAGGAAAGCCCCAGGATTCCCTGGTATGATGGCCTCCATTCCACAGGCTCAGGCGTGGTACCTTGTTAACTTCCTCTGAAACCCTGCAACATGTCTCACCCCTGTCACCTGCAGAATGGAGGTATTCAAAGCCCTCCACAACCTGGATGCGGCCAACACCTGCCTTTCCAACCTGTCCATCTCCCACCTGGGCACATGTCAAGCCCTAGACTTTTTCTCTGCTCCCTGAATGTCCTCCCTGCCCTTCCTTATCTGACAGATTCCTCCTTATCTCCCCAGGCCCTATTTAAACGTCCCATTCCCTGTCTCCAGAACACAGAGCTGAAGAACACCCACTTCATTACAACCCATTTTGTCTTCACCTGCCTGCTTACCTCTGCATTGTCAACAGTAAAGCCAGTGCCTGGCATATGTTGAGAACAGCAATTTGACATTGTGGGAAAACAGATGGAAGAACTAGCAAGCATTTCTTGCATGCCTCTCCCCATACCAGCCCGTCCAGCTTGTGCACCTGTCCCTGCCGTGAACCAGAGAGGTCTCACTGGTCTCCCACTGGGACTGGGGGTTCTCCCCACACAGAGACCCTGCCGGGAAAGGAGAGGAGACTTCTCAATCTCCTTAAGACGAGTCCTACTATCAGGCTCAGAACTGGAGGGAAGAGCCAAGATCTACGAGCCGAAAAGGCCCAGCTCTGCCCCGACCCCCTGAGTCTTCCATACACTATGAGCCTCAGTGTTCCCTTCCTCCAGGTGGGAGAGAGCTCACCTCTCACTCTCAGAGTCGCTGGAAATCTCCTCATTCATCTTGCCGCCTCCCTTGGACTTGCCCCGGTCCCCGGCAGAGTCGGCCTGAGAATTAAACGATCCTTTCGTTAGTCAGGGGTCCCAACCACCCCGGCACCGACCAAGCGCGCCGCGCCTTCCGATCTCTCGAGAGCCGCCGGACTAGGAAAGGCAGCGGCCTCCCCACCCCCACCCCCACCCCCACCCCCACCCCCACCCGCGCCGGCTCCAGTGCAAGGTCTTTCAGGATCTGGCCCCCGGAGAGAGGAACGAAGCTGACTCCAGCTGGGGTCCCGAAAAAAGGGCCGCGGAGGCGCCCGGGGCCCGGGAGTCCCGGAGCGGATGACGCTGGTCCCGGCGGCGGGGCTGACTCTGGCCCGCAGAAGCTTCAGGCTCACCTTTCGCCGCCGCTTGCCGGCCCCCGCACCGGCCGCGGCCCCCGAGGCCGGCCTTGCCCGCTTCCGAGCCGCCGCCGCCGCCGACATGCTGCCCACCGCGAGCGCAGCGGCCGCCACGGAGAACTCACGTGGCTGCTAAACCCCGGAGGTCTGGCAGGACTCCGCGCCCGGATAGGCTCCCAGTGCCCCGCGGGTCCCGCCTCCCACGGCCCCATTGGCTGCCTCTGTACGCTCTGTCCCGCCCCCAGGCGCCCATAGGATAAGCGCTTGTGGCCCCGCCTCCAAGGCCTCCTCCAGGCTCCAAGCCTCCTCGGGCGCTTCCGGCCCAAAGCTGCGGCGCCTGCGCTCTGCTGCGGGCTGGCGACCAAGGGGCGGGCCGGACCCGAAGCGCCTTCTCTGTGTTTGCGGCCCTTGGACGCTGGGGGGCGTCAGAGATGCAGCGCCCGGAGTCTCGCGGCGGGACTCCTCCCCGTCGGGGGCGGGAGCTAGGGTGAACCAGCCTGGCTCTAGGTAACGGCGAGGAAACGTCGGCAGCCCAGCCCGGAGGAGAGGGAGGCAATGCCCGCGCCTGGGCCCAAGGTCACGGGGCAGCCGGCGGACACGTACTGCGTGCCTCAGGCCACTCAAGCGGCGCGAGGGACGCGCCAGCCTCCTGGGCTGCGCTGGCTCTGCCGATCAAGTGTCCAGCGGTCCGTGGGACAGGCTGCTGGGCTGCGCTAGTCCAGCCTCTGACTCACCGGACTGGTGGCCAGATAGCGGGGAAACCACACCCCCACCCCTGGCGAGTGTAGGGAGATCACTGCCCCAAGTCACGCCTAGCGTTACAGAGGGTTGCTGGAGAAGGCCCTAGAACTGCAACTGCCGTGGGGGTCCTGATACTAGATCCGTGGCTGCCATCTCTCCCAGGTCCCCCCTTCTTTTAGGTGAGTGCCCTATGGCCCTGCCCACAGCCCTCTGCAGGGCAGGGCAGGGCAGGGCAGGGCAGGACGGGGTGGTGCTGGTGCTGGCCCACTGGTCTCAGACCCTGACTGGCACCCCAGAACTTTTAAACCCCTTGGGAAGGATTTCTGGGCCGCAGGGCCCCAAGTTCTAGAGGGACAGATCTGGCCTCGGGAGTGTGGCCCTTGGGAGCTGCTGCCCACTGTCCTCCATAGTTGGGGTGACTCAGCCCAGCAGCCATGCCACGTCCATCTGAGTCAGCTGAGACGGGGCGGAGCGGGCAATACCCAGGGAGTGCTCTGGAGGGAGGAGGAGCCCAGAAGCAAGAAGAGATTCTCCTCACTTTTCCTGCCTCATCAGGACACTGGATTGCTAAAGAGAATAGGGAACCATTCTTCCGAGGCTCTGGGGCAGACTGGACAGGGTCCTGGCCTGGCCCATGCGAATGGGAAAAGGGAAAGGTGACTGGTACAGAGAGCTGGTTTTGGTCTGGCTTAGAGAATAGAGAGATGGAGTCGGGGGGTGGCAGTGGGGAGAGGGTCACCAAAAGAGCAAACCCAGAGTGGGGCACGTTGGTGCTGTGCCAGCCAGGTGGGATACAGAGGCCATGAAGGCCTGAGGGCCCTCTTTGTGCCCCAGAAGAGCCATGGCTCCAAAGCGCAAGCCCCAGGTGCAACAGGAGGGCCCTGAAAAAAAGAAGGGGCGGCAGGGTGCAGAGGAGGAGGACAGCTTCCGCTCCACTGCCGAGGCCCTCAGAGCTGCACCCACAGAGAAGCACGTAGTCCGAGTGGACCCAGCATGCCCGCTCAGCCACAACCTTCAGACCCAGGTAATCTGTCGTCCCCTTCCAGACTTGGAGCCTAGGTACAAATACACTCAGACCAGTTCCCCTCCTCACTGGGCCTCGGCTCTGGCCAGGTAGCTCAGGCTCCCAAGGAAGCTATGTTTCCCTGAGACCCCAACGGTCAGGTAGGGTTATAGCCCATCAGATCCAGGCAGGTCATGTCTGCTCCTCAGACCCTAGGGTAAGCCTCCAAGCTTCTCAGGCCTCCACCTGCCACACTTAAGACAGGATTTCAACCTCCTTAGTCTCCCCAGGGCTCACCTGTAACCCCTAAAGCAGCCTCACAGGGCCATGTCCCACTGAGATCCCTTTTGCATGGCAGGGTTGCATCCTGTCAGACCTCCAGGGCAGAAGCAGTGTCTCCCTCTGATTCCCTGACACAGGGTACAGCCACATCCTCCCAGAACTTCCCCCAACTGAGTTTAGTCACGTTCCCTCAGATTGTGGCCCCCAGGGCAGAACCATGACCTCAAGCCTTTCCTGATAGAGCCTCCCCTGGATGTCCCAGTGCATCCTGACTGCTGTTCCCCTCAAACCCCTGTCAGTGTGTGGCCCGCCCTCCCTACGGCCTGCTCTCCCACCTGTTCCACCTGAGGGCCGCCCAGGCTGGCCTGCCCTCCCCAGAGCACCCCCACCCCCGGCCCTAGGTGCATGAAGACTACGCCTGCACCCTGAATCAGACCAACATTGGAAAAAACAACAACAAGTTCTACATCATCCAGCTGCTGGAAGAGGGGGACCGCTTCGCCTGCTGGAACCGCTGGGGCCGCGTGGTGAGTGCCACCTTGCCATCCTGGACCCACCTTCCCCACCCCTGCTCACCAGGGTCCCCACAGCTCACTCGGCAACTGCCTGCACCCTCTCTCCACCTCTGAATGCCCAGCGGCTCCTGCCGCAGGGTCTGGCACAGCTGAGGCCAACCAGATGTTTCACAGTGGGCAACTGTGGCAGGCACCCGCACCCCCCGCCTGCCCTGCTGCCTGAGGCTGTTGGTTGCAGGGAGAGGTGGGCCAGTCGAAGCTCAGCTACTTTGTGTTGCTGGAGGATGCAAAGAAGGACTTTGAGAAGAAATTTCGGGACAAGACCAAGAACAGCTGGGTGGAGCGGGACCACTTTGTGGCCCACCCGGGCAAGTACACACTCATCGAAGTACAAGGAGAAGATGAGGCCCAGGAGGCCGTGGTGAAGGTGAAATGGCCAGGAAGGGTGTTGGTGGGCCCCAGTATGAGGGAGGGGACTGGAAGGAGAGACCCAGCCAGTTGGCTTCTGCCACTGCCCAGCTGTGTGACGTCGGGCATACACCTCCCCTCTCTGGCCTCAATGTGGCCAGTCTCTAATGCCAGGTTCTGCTTTGGCTGTGCCCAGCTGCTCCTGCCCATCCACGCCCTCTACCTCTAGGTGGAAGGAGGCTCAGTGAGGAACATAGTTCAGCGGGTACGGCCCTGCTCCCTGGACGCACCAACACAGAAGCTCATCACCAACATCTTCAGCAAGGACATGTTCAAGAATGCCATGACCCTCATGAACCTGGGTGAGGGGAGAGGGGCCAGTCAGGAGGCAGGGGCCACAGGGGTGGCAGGGCTACAGGGCTGAGTCTCCCCCACTCTCTCCACCCCTTAGATGTAAAGAAGATGCCCCTAGGGAAGTTGAGCAAGCAGCAGATTGCACGGGGCTTCGAGGCTTTGGAGGCTCTGGAGCTGGCCCTGAAAGCCCCCACGGATGGTGGCCCCAACCTGGAGGAGCTGTCCTCCCACTTCTACACTGTCATTCCCCACAACTTCAGCCGCAACCGGCCCCCGCCCATCAACTCCCCTGAGCTTCTGCAGGCCAAAAAGGACATGCTGCTGGTGAGGTTTGGCAAGCAGGCAGGCAGCAGGGCAGACAGACAGACTGGGCAAGGGAGATGGGGGACAGATGGCCAAGGAGGCCCAGATAGGCGGACTGAATGGGTAGCTGGAAGGACAGGGGAGGGGAGGGCCAGCCGGATAGATGTGGTGGGAGTGCACAGGTCAGGTGGCTGGGGCCCCAGGTCGTGTGGGAGGGAGGAGGCTGGGAGTGAATTGGACAGACAAGCTCTCAGTGTCCATCACTGTAGGTGCTGGCAGACATCGAGCTAGCCCAGACCCTGCAGGCATCCCCTGAAGAGGAAAAGGTAGAGGAGGTGCCACACCCCCTGGACCGAGACTACCAGCTCCTTAAGTGCCAGCTCCAGCTGCTGGACCCAGAGGAACCCGAGTACAAGGTGGGCCATGTCCCACAGAGGAGCCGGGACAACAGTAGGCACTGTCCCTCTGCCCATCTGCCCTCCTGGTGTGCAGAAGAGCCGCTTGCCCTTGGCCTTCTCTCCCTGTGTCTGTAGGGCCTGAGGAGAGCTCTGGGACTGGAAGCACCAGTGGGGGTTTGTCCACACATCTCTCACCCTTGGCAACTAGTTTCTGCTTTTCCTGCAGGTGATACATACCTATTTAGAAAAGACTGGCGACACCTACCGGTGCCCTGCTCTTCAACATGTTTGGAAAGTGAACCGAGAAGGGGAGGTAATGGAAAGTACCCCCCCCCCCCCCCCGCCCCGCGCCCAACCCATTACCCTCACTACCTGTCCCTAGCATATGTGCCCATTAGCAAGTCGGTGTAGCAATTCATCAGCTTCCGCCAGACCCAGGCCTTGCGTTTGTGTGCGTCACTGGCCACAGGGGCCTTTTGCTTCGCTCATGCCCTCTGAACGGTGGGGAGAAGCACCTGAGCTTGCATAATGTGACGCTCCCTGTTTCCACCTCCTTCCCCTGAAGGGAGATAGGTTCCAGGCCCACTCCAAGATGAGTAATCGGAAGCTACTGTGGCATGGCACCAACGTGGCGGTGGTGGCCGCCATCCTTGCCAGTGGGCTCCGCATCATGCCACATTCTGGCGGCCGTGTTGGCAAGGGCATCTACTTTGCCTCAGAGAACAGCAAGTCGGCTGGCTATGGTGAGGTACCTCTCAGGGCCAACCCCCAGGGGGACTAGCCCTAGTGCTTGCCCAGCTTGTGGTGGATCTGGGAGAGGAACCTTTGAATGGCTACTGACTAGAGTGCTCAGTGGGGCTCCCCAGGGACTGGGGGAACTCAAAGGGAGAGCAGTGGCCAGGGACAGGTTAGAAGTGGCAGGCAGCTTCCCTTCTCAGAGAAGGTGATGCAGATCACCTTCAGGATGAGTGAGCCAGCCACAGGTGGGGCGGGGGAAGGTAGTGAAAGAGCAGGCTTGGAGGTGAAGAAGCTAGAAGCACAAACCCTGGAAGGCTGCAGCAGGTCAGGACCTCTGAGCACAGCCTGATGATAAAGATCCAAGCAAATGCCTGGTGTAGGCAGGGGGCTGGAGTTTATCCAGGGAGTGATGGGGACCCTAACCAGACTTGTATATAGAGCATCTCTGTGGCTGTAGCCATGGGGAGGGCCACTGGGCCAGAGGTGCAGGGAAGCCATGCTCTCACCCAGGCCAGATGTGATAGGCATCCCGCCCAGGCAGTGGAGGTGGGGGAAGAGAGTATCCGTGAGAGGAATGCATGAGAAGTGGGATGGGAAGCTTGTGTGACAAGGCCGGAGGTATCTCTCATCATCCCCAAGTTTCTGTCCAGAGGTGTCCTCACTAAGACCACCTCCCCAGACTGGATTCTCAGCCAGCCCATCATTGGAGACCCCTACCTCCCACTGAGCCAAGAGAGCCAGGCTGGATGGGGGTGATGATGTTCTAGGATATCTGAGGTTGCCCAGGGCAAGGGGTCCACCAGAACAGAGGAGCCTAGGAAGGAGTAGAGGGTAGCCTTGGGAGAGCCAGTGCAAGGGGGTCCCCAGGTAAGGGGCAGAGGATACCAGTGGCGAAATCAGCAGAGCCAGCCAGAGAGAGAAGGCATCTACCCTGGATTTAGCCACTGGGACTCATAGCTGACCTTGGCGTGAGGGGCAGGGGCTGCAGAGGCCTGCTCTCAGGGATCCAAGGAATGGGGGAGCGGGTGGGAGGGAGCACAGCCAGGACAAGGGGGTGTTTTAAGGATGCAGGAAGAGTGGGCACTTTTCTGGGCTGAATCAACAAAGCCAGAGGAGATAATAATGCAGCAGAGTGGGGGTCAGGAAGTCAGATAAGAGGGCCAAGCTGCCCATGTTGAGCTTCTCTGTGTCCCCCAGTTACTGGCATATCCTGCGGAGCCCACCAACTTGGCTACATGTTCCTGGGTGAGGTGGCACTGGGCAGAGAGCACCACATCACCATCGACAACCCCAGCTTGAAGCAGCCACCCCCTGGCTTCGACAGCGTCATTGCCCGAGGCTCCACAGAGCCTGGTGGGTCCTGAAAAGCTGGACATCCCTGAGGATAAAGGCCTGGGGCTGAGCTAGGGGACTGGGAAACTTTCAGGGAGGAGGTGCGCAGGGGAGGGGCAGTGGTGGGGAAGAGAAGAACCAGGCTTCCCTACTACGTCATTCACAAACCTTTGCTGATTCAACACATCACTCCTGAGCATCCAGGAGGGCTTCAAAGAAAAGGTGTCAATGACTGAGCATCAAAAGGTAAGTAGGCAGGGACGCCTGGGTGGCTCAGCGGTTTAGCACCTGCCTTCAGCTCAGGGCCTGATCCTGGAGTCCCAGGATCGAGTCCTATATCGGGCTCCCTGCATGGAGCCTGTTTCTCCCTCTGCCTGTGTCTCTGCCCCTCTCTCTGTGTGTCTCTCATGAATAAATAAATAAAATCTTAAAAAAAAAAAAGTAAGTAGGCATTTCCCAGGCAGAGGAATTAGGAGGATATTCCACGCAGAAGGCCCAGCCTGCGCAGTGGTTTGGAGACTGCAAGGTGGGAAGGAGCAGGGGTTCCCTGTGGCAGAGTGGGGAGCATAGGGGGCAGAACTTATTGGTGAAGCTGAGGATCAGTGATCCTTGAGTCACCTGTGGCCCTTGCTGTACCTGCAGATCCATCCCAGGACACCGAGCTAGAGCTGGACGGCCAGCGAGTGGTGGTGCCCCAGGGCCAGCCTGTGCCCTGTGCAGAGTTCAGCAGCTCCAGATTCTTCCAGAGCGAGTATCTCATCTACCAGGAGAGCCAGTGTCACCTGCGCTACCTGCTGGAGGTTCACCTCTGAACCGTCTGCCTACCCCTGCCCCTTGCCTGGGGCCTACTGGTGGCCAGACTGTCATCCTTAACCTTCCTGCCCATCTCTCGTGCCCCCAAATCTCCCTCTTATGTCCCAGACAGTGATTTCCCCCCCTCCCTCCAATCCTTGCTAGCCGTGGCATGGCTATGGCTCCAGAGTCTCGCCTCCTAAGGTGTTGGGTGTGATGGACTGCCATTGTTACTGGGGCACAGATACAGCAGCCCATTCAAGTTAGAGGAGCACAGGCTGAGAATGGATGGAATCCCACATCCACCCAGGCTGTCCGCCCTGCCCCAGACTGTCTGTCCGAGAGGTGTGAGCACCAAGGTAGGCTGAACTTCAAAGCATATATAACAAGTTTATTAAATATTGTATCTGCTCACTCCCTGGTCTCTGCTTGTCTGTGCTGCAGCTGCACAAGGCCTGGCTCTCCTTCCCTCTTGTCGGAGACCCACCACACCACACAGCAGCCCTAACCCCACACTAGGGAGTGAGCACTCACAAGGTTGATGTGGGACACACACACACACACACACACACACACACACACACCGATCTACATCCGTGTCTGCAACAATGGGCCTCCTGATCCTTGAGCTTTCAAAGGAGACTCTCACCAATTCAGAACTGTTGGGCATTTGGGGACCCACCTGGTGATTCTGCATTTTAGCCCAGACACAACTGGGCAAATCAAGCATTCCTCATGTCTCGGCCCAAACATCCACGTGTATCATATGTGAATATTATTAATAAGTTCAGCATTTACCCAAGGGGTACTGCTCTACAATCATGATGGGAACACCAGTCCCCCCCTCTCAGGTAACTCTGTCCCCAAATGGGGTGCAGGTGCTAGAGAGCAAGTCTGGGACTGGTCCAGGATCACACATTGCATTTAGTTGTCATGCCTCATGTGTCTCCTTCAGCCTGAAACCATTCCTCAGCCCTTCTTCTCCCTTCATAACTTTGACATTCTTGATGATGAAGGAGACAGGCCAGTTGTTTTACAGAATATCTCGAGATTTGGATTTGTCTAATGTTTTGTTATGATCAGCTTCAGGCATTGCAGCTGGGGCAGGAATGTGACCTACATGGTGTGTTCTCAGTGCATTATAGCCACAGGGACATGTGACGTTAATTTTGATCTCTTAAGAGGGTGTCCACCAGGTGTCTCCATTGGGAAGTCACCATTTCTCCCGTTTGTAATTAATCAGTAATCCATGGGAAAATATTGTGAGGTATAATTAATCAGTAATAAATGGGAAAATATTTTGAGGTATTTCCATGGGAAAATATTTTCATATCCATCCTGGACTTTCGCCACTAGCTTTAATATGCATTGAAGATTTTTACCCGAAATCGACGACTTAGATCAATTTTTGCTAAGATAGTTGCAAACAACAGTTACCTAATTCCATCATTTCTCTTGTATTTATTAATTACTGGTCTTTCTTTATTATCCTTATGGACTTGTGGATTCTTATGCAATGGGTTCTAATCCATTACTGTAATGTTGATCTTCAAAATGTCCCAGATTTTGCCAGCAAAAAGTCTTTCAAGCTGACTTCCAGATCTACATCATTTTTTGAGCACTTCCTTACTTTCTGGCATCTCAAGATATTCCAGGCTCATCTCACGCAAACCAGCCATTTCTCCAAGGAGCTCTGGTTCTCTAGAGCAGGAAATGGTATGAAACATCCAAGATTTGGGTAGTAGGTATGCTTCTTCGTTCTGGGGTGTCATTGCTTTTAAATCCTCATAGTAAACATAGCCAGGAAATACATATATGTGAATACATCTACCCATATCTATTTCTCCAATTCCAATCCAACACCACCGGGTTCTTCCATTCATCCCCAAATGTATATTTAAAATGCCTCCTTTCTGGGACGCCTGGGTGACTCAGTGGTTGAGCTTCTGCCTTAGGCTCAGGGCATGATCTCAGGGTCCTGGGATTGAGTCCTGCATTGGGCTCCCTGCGGGGAGCCTGCTTCTCCCTCTGTCTATGTCTAACTGCCTCTCTCTGTGTGTGTCTCTCATGAATAAATAAATAAAATCTTTTCAAAAAATAAAAATAAAATGCCTCCTTTCTCTAACAGTAATAATCTTGGTTTCCATCAACCTTAATATATTTACTTATTGCCTAATCCCATACAAAAAGAAGTTTTAGAATTGCTACACTCATACCATTGTGAAAAACAAACTTTGTAAGTTGAGCTCAAGATGTACTGAATCTTCTTCAAGACTTAACTTTTAGGCTAAGGGTCAGTGGTCAAAGTGGCAGTTTGAGCACAGGTTCAAATATTACTTAGATGAGCTGTTTATTTCTCTCCAGTATTGTTATACATTTGAAGTATAGGTAGGTTCATTTGTTTCTGTTCGTAATTAACTTTTAGGGGTTTTTCCTTATCTTCATTGATTGATTTTTTCAATACATAGAACATTAACATAGTTTCAAAACGTCTAATATTTTGGACAAAAATGTGTGCTCAGAAGAACATTCTTCTCTAGCCTTTCACTCCATTCCCACCCACTTACTGTAGTTTCTGGTTTATCCTGCCTGCATTTCTTCGTGCAAATTAAAACAAAACAAAACAAAACAACAACCAAAAAAAACCACAAAAACATAAATACAGAGTGTTTCATTATCCCTCCATTTTTAATTTAGTTGGACTACTTTGGAGCGAGCATGCCCTCTCCAACTCACTATCACCTCCATCCCTCCCTATCATCTACCCAGTCTACTTTTCTCATTTGCCATTCTCACTTGACCCCTGCTGACCCCTCTCAGACCCAGGTGGTTTAGGCACTGCCCCAGGCCCACAGGCCCAGCTGGGCAGGGAGAAGAGGTAAAAGGAAGGCATTGGACTTCCCCTTATTCCGAACTAAAACCTCAAAAATCCAGCTTTACCTCCTAGAGGCAAAGGCCCACGTTTAAGTTGTGGCCAAGCACAGGAAGTGGTGCCTGTGTAGACAGAGCCCAGGAAGCCAGTGACCTGGGTTCCAGGTACAACTCAGCTGTGTGATCTGGGACACATTCCTCACCTCTCTGGGCACCAGTTTTCTCATCTGAATAACAGAGAATTGGACCAGGCCCCTCAAATTCCAGCAGGAAATGAGTCAAATTTGGAGGCTCAGGCCCTGATGGCTCTATCATCTAGCTCTGTACAGTGCTGATCATGTGCCAGGGGTGGGTTCTAGGGGCATAGACAAAGACAGAATCCCTGCTCCCCTAGAGCTTATAGGTTAATACAACAGGCTCTAAACAAGCAAGTGCAGAGATACGAAATTTCTCAAGTAGGAAAAGTGTCAATAAAAATAAGGCAGGGTAAAGAATTAGTGATGGGAAGGTGGGGGATTTTTGGAAAGATGGTCACCAAAGGCATCTCTCAAACAGCGCCTTGAATTAGGTGAGGGAGGGACCAAGTTCTGGACAGATCTGAGAGAAGTGTGTTCTGTCAGAGACAACAGCACATGTGAAGATCCTGAAATGGAAACCGGTTTGACATAGTGCAGGACCAGCAAGATGACTGCTATGGCTGGAAGTATGGTTAGCAAAGAGTGTGACCTCAGAGAGTTGGAGATAAGGCCACCTGGGCATCAAGGAGGTGAGAGTCTAACCTGATCGTGGGAAGCTCTTAAAGGGATGACAGCAGGGTCATGACATGATCGAATTTTAGAAGGATCCACTTCAGTAGTTGTATAGAGTGGACTGGAGGCTGTGACAATTAAGATCCAGTCGGCGGGGGGGGGGGGGGGGTAACTCGATGACGGGCACTAAGGAGGGCACAAGATGTAATGAGCACTGGGTGTTATATTCAAGTGATGAATCACTGAACTCTACCTCTGAAACTAATAATGCACTATATGTTAATTAATTGAATTTAAATAAATTCTTAAAAATCCAGTCAGCACAGCTGAAATCACCCTAGGGATTCCAGACAAGGAGAATATGATAGAGACAAGGAACTGAACTACCAAAGGGGATAGGGAGGCCATCCAAGGATCAGCAACAGTAGAAAGTTGCTACCACTCTTAGGCTGGAGGGATAATGGAATGAAATGGTATTCCACTGCGCAGAGGCCAAGGTCTCCCTGCAGGCACTCAACCACAGAGGGGGCTGCTCTAGGAGAGAGAGGCTGTCCCCTGAGGAGGTGACCCAGAGACCCAGGCTGAGTGTGAGATGGCAAATAGCTTGGCTTCTTCCCTCCTCCACCTTCCAGTCTTCTGCTGCTGTTATTAGCCGAATATACCCAAAAAACAGCTGGCAAAGGAGTCTGGGAAGTACAGTTCCCTGGGAGGTGGAGCACTGGGGAAGACTGGGGACTGGATCTGGCAAATGACCAGCACAAGGTGCAGGAGCAGAGGCCAGGAGACCAGTTAGGAGGATGCTGAAGTGGTTCAGGTGTGAGGTGGTGGTGGCTGGGTCCACAGATATTAATGGGTGAGATGTGGGGTCTGGGGGAAGGTAGGCATTAGTAATGACTTCTGAAATGGAGTTTATTGAGCTGCAGAAGGCTCTGAGAGGAGCACATTGGGGAGGGCTCTAGAGTCATGGTTCTGCTTTGGACATAGGACATTTAAGATGCCCAATAGTCAAAGTACTAGGGGAGATGTTGGAGAGGCAAAGGAGAGGAAGGCGCTTTAGATACAAGTCAAGCCATCAGGATATAGAAGGGGTTACACAGGGGACTGGGTGACTTCACTTGAGGGCATATGCCCCAATGGAGTCATATGACTTTCTCTGAGCCAACTACCTTGGGTGTGGAGGATGCCATACACTGACTGGCCAGGACTGGATTTTGTGCCTTACCAGGAAAACGGAGGGTGGGGATTTTTCTCATCCAAACCATAAGCCCTGAGAGTTGGGAAAGGGTGGTTACCTAAAGAAAACTCAGGGTGCTCCTAGCAGAAGGGGACTTGTTTGCTAACAGTAAAAACAAAACCAAACAAAAAGCAGCAGTTTGGGGGAACCTGGCTGGTTTAGTAGGTAGAGCATCTCATCCTTAGGGTTGTGAGTTCAAGTCCCATGCTGGGTATAGAGCCCACTTTATTTTATTTTTATTAAGATTTTATTTATTTATTCATAGAGACAGAGAGAGGCAGAGACACAGGCAGAGGGAGAAGCAGGCTCCACGCAGAGAGCCTGATGTGGGACTCGATCCTGGGTCTCCAGGATCACACCCTGGCCTGCAGGTAGCGCTAAACCACTGCGCCACTGGGGCTGCCCTAGAGCCCACTTTAAAAAAATAGATAGATGATAGATGATAGATAGATAGATGATAGATAGATAGATAGATAGATATAGATAGATGATAGATAGATAGATAGATAGATAGATAGATAGATAGATAGATAAAAAGTACTCAGCAAGACATTAAAAAAAAACACCAGCAGTTGAGATGGTAACTACACTTAGTGTGGTGAGCATTTTATATTGTATAGAATTGTCAAATCATTATGTTGTACACCTAAAGTTATCTATAATACTATATGTCAATTTTACTTCTTTTTTTAAGATTTATTTATTTATTCATGAGAGACACAGACATAGGCAGAGGGAGAAGCAGGCTCCATGCAGGGAGCCTGACGTGGGACTCGATCCTGGGACTCCAGAATCATGCCCTGAGCCAAAGGCAGACGCTCAACCCCTGAGTCACCCAGGCGTCCCCAAAAAAGAGAATTGTACTTCAATTGAAACAAAAACAGTGGGGCACCTGGGTGACTCAGTCAGTTAAGGATCTGCCTTCAGCTCAGGTCATAATCCCTGGGATGAAGCCCCAGGTTCCTTGCTCATTGTGGAGTCTGCTTCTCCTTCTCTCTCTGCCCCTACCCCTCTGGTGCTCTTGCCCGCACATGCTCTCTTGCAAATAAATCAATAAAATCTTTTAAAAAATAAAACAAGCAAAAACAGCAGTTTCCCCAAGGCCTCCTCTCATTAATTCTACACACTATCATGAAGCACCTATTCTGTGCTACGCTAATCCCTGTTGAGAGCGTACTATGTGCCAAGGCCTATGATTTTTTTTCCCTCACCTTTCCCAGCCTCTCTGAGAGAACTAGCCCTCCTAGAGCCCTCTCTGCTCCAGCTCTTGCCTTACTGGTACTTCAGTTTCCCCTCAGGACAAAGGCTGAATGATCTGCTTGCCCCCATTGATGGAGATGAGAGGAGAGAGCATGTAGGGGGCTACTTCCTACTCCCACTCCAGCAAGGCTGGGCTGACTCCAAAGCCCACATTCTGATATCCTCAGTCTAGAGTCCAGCCTGTGCTCTGGGCCCTTCTCCAGAGGCACCCCCAGCACTTCCAGTTGGCAGCTGGCAGCTGCTAGGACCCAGGGGGCCGGTGCCAGGCCCTGCTCCTCCCTTGCCAGCTCTGTGTGTCTCTAAAGGGCAACATCAGAGTGTCAGCCAGTACCATCTCCAGCAGAGGCTGAGTTGCCCGGGCAGAGGAGAGAGCTGAAGTCCCAGCCTTGCACCTCTGCATAGGGCCGGCCAAGCCCCTGAGAGGATGGCAGCCTGGGCGACGGAGCCAGCGCGCGGGCAGCCTCCGAGGCGAGGGGCTGGAGGAGCAAGGGACAGGTGATGGGAAGGGGGGAGGGGGGATGCTCCGTTTCGCTCCCTGCAGTGCCGCACAAGGTGAAGCCTGAGCGCTCGAATGGCCAACTCCACAGGGCTGACCACCTCGGAAGTCGTGGGCTCGGTGGGCTTGGTCCTGGCGGCCGTCGTGGAGGCAGCGGCCCTGCTGGGCAACGGCGCGCTGCTGGTGGTGGTGCTGCGCACGCCGGGACTGCGCGACGCGCTGTACCTGGTGCACCTGTGCGTCGTGGACCTGCTGGCGGCCGCCTCCATCATGCCGCTCGGCCTGGTGGCCGCGCCCCCGCCGGGCCTGGGCCGCCTGCGCCTGGGCCCCGCACCGTGCCGCGCCTCGCGCTTCCTGTCGGCGGCGCTGCTGCCCGCCTGCACGCTCGGGGTGGCCGCGCTCGGCCTGGCGCGCTACCGCCTCATCGTGCACCCGCTGCGGCCGGGCGCGCGGCCTCCGCCCGGCCTGGTGCTCGCGGCCGTCTGGGCCGCCGCGGGGCTGCTGGGCGCGCTCTCTCTGCTCGGGCCGCCGCCCGCGCCGCCCCCGGCCCCGGCGCGCTGCTCGGTCCTGGCCGGCGGCCTCGGGCCCTTCCGGCCGCTCTGGGCGCTGCTGGCCTTCGCGCTGCCCGCCCTCCTGCTGCTCGGCGCCTACAGTGGCATCTTCCTCGTGGCGCGCCGCGCAGCCCTGCGGCCCCCCAGGCCCGCGCGGGGCTCCCCGCGGCCGCGCTCCGACTCTCTGGATAGCCGCCTCTCCATCCTGCCGCCCCTCCGGCCTCGCCTGCCTGGGGGCAAAGCAGCCCTGGCCCCAGCGCTGGCCGTGGGCCAGTTTGCAGCTTGCTGGCTACCTTACTGCTGTGCGTGCCTGGTGCCCGCTGCGCAGGCTGCAGTGGCCGAGGCGCCGGTCACCTGGGTGGCCTACTCCGCCTTCGCGGCGCACCCCTTCCTGTATGGCCTGCTGCAGCGCCCGGTGCGCCGGGCACTGGGTCGCCTGGCCCGCCGGGCACTGCCCCAGCCCCCGAGGGCCTGCACTCCGCGGGCCTGGCACCTGCCAGCACTTCTGCAGCACCTCCAGGGGCTTTCAGAGAGCCCTGCTCTACCGTCTTCTGAGGCACCAGAACAAGCCCCAGATTTGCCAGGAGGGGAGAACCTGAGTATGTCACCGGCCACCTGAGAGGACATCGGTCTCCCATGCTGAACTGAGACTGGAGAAAAGATGGTGCTATCAGAAGGAGCCCATCCAGCCTCCTGCACAGTTCCTTCCGGGCAGGTGCCCTGCCTGGATTTCTGGCTCTGGGACGGGGAGAAAGGGAGCCTGCGGCCTAGTGAGATCAAGAGGCTTCTGGGAGCTAGGAATCCTGGGTTCTGGGCCCTATTCTGCATAGTCTTGAATACAGACCTACTCTTCCCTAGGCCCATTTTCCCATCTGTATCCTGAACCATCTCTGAGGGCTCCTTCAGTTTAGGTGGTTTGAACACTCATGGATAGTCCCCAGGCCAAAGAAAGAGAGGAGGTGTGCAGGGTCACCAAGACGAGGGCCCTATGAGCTTACAGCCAAAGGGATGGACCAAGCAGGGCAAGGTCTAGGTAACAGCCACAGCAGGAGGAACCAGTGGAGAGACACTCAGAAGGACTTTCCTGACAACTGCACCAAGAAGTGGCTGGACAAAGCTACTGGAACTCCTCTATCAGCTTCTAAAATGCCCATAAAGCAACTTCATCAGTGTGGTGCCAGGGGCAGGAGGCTGGACAACATGAACCTAAAGGGCCCTGAAGCCCCAGAACTGGCATGTGGAAGGGGCCAAGACCCAATGGGGACTGGCGGATTCACAGATAGGGTCCTCTGGGGCCTTGGCCACACTCATTCTCTGGAGGTTTTGCCAACACCCACAATATTTCACAGCTTCCTGGTCTCTGAGAATATTTATTCAAAAACAGGGATTGAAAAAACTGTACAGAGTGTCTGCTGCTGAGAATTCGGCCCCTGCCTCCATGCCACTCCCCCAGCTGCCCAGCAGGGTCCCTTCTTTGGGTTGCCCTCTGCCAAGCCCAGCAGGTCCATTCCAGTCAAAAGGGTATCGGTGGAAGCAGCAGGAATCTGCAGGGAGGTGGGGAGAGAAGCACGGCCCCCAGCCACCCCCCAGCCCTCCTCCCTGATCCCCACGGGGGGGCAGTAGGCTGGGAAGCCCTAAGGGATGGGGAGTGCATGAGTGACCCTCGGAAGTGGGGGCACTAAGGATGCTCCCTGCATCCAAGCATAGAGCTAGAGGGGGTGGAGCCCCCTACCCTGGGGCTGCTGCGGCTCCCGGGCCCTGGGCCAGAAACTGCTCCCACTCTGAGAGGAGGAACTCCCACAGACCTGGGCTGGGTGGGGGGTGCATCCATGCGTCTGGGCATTAGTGGCATTTGGGACCCCAGGGTGGAGTCTCCTTGGGCAGGTAGGGTGCAGAGGCAGCCCCCTACCGGTGGTCCTGCCTGCCCCTGCGCCTGTGCCTCAGCCGGCCTCAGTAGGGGGAGAATTTCTGCCGCTCAGCTTTCTTGCTCCCATTGGCTGCTGCCATCTTGGCAGTGTAGGCCGCCAAGCCCGGCGGCGGCCCTGGGGAGGCAGGTGGTAGAGCCAAGAAGGGCACAGGCTTGAGGCCGATGAAGTTGGAGAGGGAGATGGCATAGGGTGTGCCCAGCAGGCCTGGGGGAGCTGTGGGCAGGGCCGTCAGGGGCGGCGAGAAGGGGGCAGGCAGGTCTGTGGGGGCCGAGCCGGGCGTCCCCCCAGAGGTAGACTTGGCCGTTTCTAGACTGGAGAGAGGGATATGGGGGGAGATGAAGGGGACAGCGGGGGTAAGAGAGGGGCAGTGAGGGAAAACATGGGGGTGGGGGGAGATTAGATGAAAGACAGAGAGGAATCAAAAATAATGACATGGGGTGGATATTGCGGGGAGGCTGGAAACAGCAGAAGAGAAGGAAGGATAACAGGTATGGTACGTGGTGAGGGGAGACACGGGAAGAGACAGGGATGGGCAAAGGGACAGGAGGACATGAGGGATAGATGTGGAGGGGAGGAGGGGGTAACATGGAGTGGGTAAGGCAGGGTTGAGGAGGCAGGGGACGCACCCAGACAGACAGGGAAGGGAGATCAGCTCTCCCCACCCCAAGTGTACCTTTCACAGGCACGTGAGCCCCGTGACCTGGGCCACCCCCACCTCACACTCACCAGGCAGTGATGAGGTACTGGGCCAGGGCGATGGAGACAGGGGAACCAGTGATGGTCACGTGCCTCTCGCCGGCACCCTCCGCTTGGTTCCCGATCTTGATATGTGCCCCTGACATCTGGCGGATCTCACTGATCTTGCTGCCCTGGCGCCCGATCACACAGCCAATCAGCTGCGGGGAGAGTGGAATTCAACCCTGGGCCAGGCCTAAACCCCAGGACCCCTGTGCAACCCCCTCAAACCACTCCATCCCCTGCTCACGTCGTTGGGAACCAAGAACTCCTGTGAGCTGGTCTGTGCGCCAGGATCCAGTCCTGGGAAGGAGGAGAAGGGGGATTGGACATGATTCTGGGCCTTTCCTGCCTCCCCATGTACATTCTGCAGGGGGGAGGAGGGGGTCCGCCTGGCCCCAGGGGTGTTGCCCCTGCCTCCCTCTGCAGGGCTGCTCACCTGGCACCATGCTGGGTGAGGCAAAGGGGACTGCGTGGCCAGAAAGCTGCTGGAGTTTAGTGACCTGTGCCAAAGAAGAGGGGTCAGAAGTCAGAGGAGGCCTGGTTCTGGGAGGGGACCCTGGGGCTATGGTCACTCACCTCAGCTGGGGTCACAGCCCCATACTGACCCTGGACGGAAAAGCCCTGTGGGGACAAAACAGGTGAACGGGGGTTACTGTGGCCAGTCACTCCTCTCCTCTGCCAAGCTCCAAGTCCTCCTTCCATCCCTCCCCCACCTTATTCCCCCTTCCCCAGTAATCCTTCCCACCCCTCCTACTGTTCCATCTCACCTGGTTGGCAGAGAGAAGGACGGTACCTAAGGAGAGGCTCGGATGATATGGGATAGTAGCTCCTTTGGGTGGGGACTAGAAGGCACAAATGGGAAGACGCTCTGTCAGGCCCCTTTAGGTCCTTCTGACCTCCCCAAGGGTCCCTATGTTCTCCAGGCCCTCCCTATGACCCCCCGGTAAATGTATCCCGATATCCTGGAGCTCCCAGTCCATCCATGCAGCCCTGCCCTGCCTCCACCTTGTGCCACATGCATGGGATCTGGGGGCCTAACAGCAGGCCCAGGGCCCATCCCCTGTCCCCCCCTCCCTGCACCAGGGCAGCACCTCCAGAATAACAGCACAAATCTGGCGCACACACAGGATGATGGCATCAGGCACCCCAGACACAGTGACAGCACGCTCTGTAGAGTTGGGGAGCAGGTCTCCTGCCACCTGTACCTGGGCACCTGTGGTCTACAAGCAGAGAACAGGAGCGACTCATAATCCAGACTAGGGCTGCCCAGGCTCAGAGCTCCCCAGGGGACAGGAAGCAATAAGCCCAGGTTCCCTCTCCAAAGTGAAGGGTAGGACTCCCTGAGGGTGGTAATCCCCTTCTCCTCACCTCTCGAATCTCCTTGATCTTGGTGCCAGCCTTCCCAATCAGTGAGCCGCACTGGCTTGCAGGGATGACAAGGCGCAGGGTCACCGGAGGCCTGGAGACATTTCCACCATTTGCAGGAGCGGCACAAAGGTCCTGGGCAGGAAGACTGTGGTTTGGCTGTGCATGCCCCTGCTGCCCCCCCACCCCTGGAGCATCTTCCTACTGAGGGCTGAAGGAGGGCAGCCCTCCCCGAGTCCTCCCTCATGAAAGAACCCTGCCCTGGGCCTGGCCTTCCCTGCCACCTACCGCCATCGAATGGGTTTGGAGCCCTATTCCGCCCACCCTGCCCTGGGGCACCACCCCTGGCCTCCCAGCCCAGCCAGCCTCGGACCTCATCCAGCTTGAAGGCGATCATGGAGACCGCATGGAAGACAGCGGCTGTAGATCCAGTGATGGTGGTGATGCGCTCGGGGCAGGAGCCCTCAGAGATGGTGATCCGGGCACTGCTCTGCGGTTACAGACAAGGCCGGGCAGCGGAGCTCCTTCTCCACTTCCTTGCCAGGAACCGGTCTGCCTGCCCACTCACCTGGCCCCAGCCAAGGCTGGAAACAGCTACTTTCCAAGGGCACTCACTGGTCATCCCAGATGGTGGGGTTCAGGGAAAATGTGGGCCAGAGATCTCCCCTCCCCTCCAAACCAGATGCCCTAGGCAGCATTCCCACACTCCATCCTCACCTGCTCCCGGATTCGCTTTACAGTCTCTCCTTTCTGTGGGAGAAAAAATATGAACTGGCTCTTAACCTGTGGTCCCTTACCTGGCCTGAGGCCTCGGGTTGAGGTCCATACAGAACAGAACTGGGCACCTACTTTCCCAATTATGCTGCCAACCTCCTGCAAACAAGATAAGAATAGAGTCAGGGGGGACCAATGCCCCAGGCCTGGCCCCTCCAGGAGGACAGGGGTTCTACCAGAGACAGGACACAGGAGCTACAAGTCCTGGCTGGCCACGCCTTACCTTGCCCCTCATCCACTCACCTTCCCATGCATCAGCATCCGCAGTGTGAGGGTGATGCTGAGCTCTGGCTCCTCCTCCAGCCCCGCATCTGAGCCGCTCATCCTGTCAGGCGGGGCTGGGGCCACAGCAGCCTAGGAGTGTGTCCACGGTGCCTGGCGGCTCTGATGGGGGGAGTGGAAGAAGGATTAGAGGGGAGCTTGGGTTTCTTTTGGGGCCCCTGCCCTTACATGGGGACCTCAGACCTCAAACTAACCAAATTCCCACGGATGAGAGACAGAGTAGACCTCCAGATTTTTAAAATTGTATTTATTTATGCATGAGAGACACAAAGAGAGAAGCAGAGATACAGGCAGAGGGAGAAGCAGGTGCCCCACAGGGAGCCTGATGCAGGACTCGATCCCAGGATCACAACCTGAGCCAAAGGCAGACGCTCAACCACGGAGCTACCAAGGTGTCGCTAGACCCGCATTTCAAATGTCACACTGACCACTACCCTTGCGTGCAACTCACTTGCTGTGTAACCCCAGACAGCTCATTTAACCTATCTGAGCCTCAGCCTCCCCATATGTAAGCAGAGACTACCAAGTCCTACCCCCAAAGAGGAGAATTAAGATGAGCTAAGCACATATGTGGTAGCCAGCCAGTCTCCATGGGTATCTTCCCCTTTCCTGATAGTGGAACAGTGGAAGAAAGAATTAACCAGAAGCCTATGAGAATCCAGAGAAGGGGCACCTCCTCTGTGATCCCTTGGAAGAGGGGACCCCTGTGGATTGCGCCTCGAAAGTATGGTTAAGATTGAAATGTTACTTCAAATACGAAGCACTTGTGTCCAAGGGCCCCTCCCCAACCCCCCACCCCTGCCCTGCTGACTAGAGCATGGGGTTGCAGCTGGAACGGAGGCTGGAGCAGCCACAGGGAGCCACAAGGAGGCCTTGAAAGGAGGGAAGAAGTGAAAATAACAAGGTTCTAGGAGGGTCCTCTTGACCCTGCCTCCCCCTGCGTGGCAAAGGCTGTGAGGAGGGGGGCACGGGAGCTGGAAGCCCCACCTCCAGAGGTCACTAAGGCGGAGGTTCTCTGCAGGCAGCTCTGAGAGCAGGGTTCCTTCAGCTCATGGGGTGAAAGGGTGATGCCAGGAGCCCAGCAGTCTGCACAGGGCTGCTCTCCTGCGTGCTGTGGAGGTAAGAAGCAGCCACATTCCCAGCCTGCAACAC